TATAGTGAATCCAAGTCGAAATCTAGATGAAGATCTTATGGACTTGCTAATTTCTCCGCCTTCCTTTAATCCAGACGAAGCGATCTCTCCTCCACTCGATTTAGCTGAAAATGCTTCACCATTACCCTACGTTGATTTGCCTTCCAACATTCCAGACACCCTAAGGGAGGAAATCGAAAATGAATCTATCAACTTACCTCAACCAGAACCTGAACAGATAACATCACCTGAAATCCAAACCGATAATGTCCCATTTCCATCCACGAGCTCCTCTCCAGACGTACCTGTTGATGATTACTCTACTTTCCTTAAATCTATGTCGTGCAAAGATAGGAACTTTAACACGGAAGTGGAAGAGCACAACGAAACTCTTATGAAGTGTCCCGCGAAGGTAATCCTGGTCCCAACATCCATCGATTTGGATGAATCTAACCCATACATTCAGGAAATATTAACCGACCCTGAAATCATTGCCGAAATACTTGAGTCCGGGAAAGAACTCTTCTCCTTTAAAAAGATAGAAACAAATAATAAATGCTATTATTTGTTGTTCATTAAAGTACATCATTTCGACGAGGCCTCCTATCCAGAAATCTTTCAAACATTAAAAACAATCAGGAATGAATTAATAAATTCCGAGGGAATTAAAGAACTCGGTATATCGGATCTGAAAAACCCATTCGAAAAACATTCCTTCATTAAAATATATAATATTCTATGCTATCTCTTTCATGATACTCAAATTAAAATTAATATATATCATAACAATATCATATATCCAGCTCCGGCAGAAATTAAGAAAATCCTTCTCGATAATCATAATATCCCGATAGCCGGTCATTTAGGTTCTGTAAGAATGTACAATAGAATAAAACAATCGTATTACTGGAAAGGTATGCGAAGCGATATAGAGTCATATGTAAAACAATGTAAATCATGCCAGGAAAATAAAGCACTTAGGAAAATTAACCGTGCTCCAATGCAGATTACCAGTACATCCACAGAACCATGCCAAAGAATATCTTTGGACATCGTCGGTCCACTTCCCGAAGCTGGACCAGCAAAATTACGTTTTATTCTCACGATACAAGACGATCTTACTAAGTTCTCCTGTGCATATCCCATCCGAAGTACCACTGCTGAAGAAACAAGTGAATGCTTACTGCATTATATATCAATCTTCGGTATTCCTAAGATGATTCTTACCGACCAAGGGACTAATTTTACTTCAGACCTATTTAGGAAAACCTGCGAATTTCTTAAAATAAAAAACTTATGGTCTTCACCATATCACCCTCAAACCCAAGGCGCCTTAGAGCGAAGTCATTCAACCCTAAAAGAATATTTGAAATCTTACATTAACGAAGAACAGTCAAATTGGCCTCGTTATGTATACACCGCGATGCTCGCTTATAACACATCCGTTCATTCCACTACACATTACACACCTTACGAGCTCATGTTCGGGAGTAAACCATTTATTCCTAATTCCATTTATAATGAATCTCCAGGGGCTACATACCCTGATTATGTCCGCATGTTGCAAAACCGTTTGAAATATTCCAGAGAAAAGGCTTTAGATTTTATAAGGAAGTCAAAAGAATCCTCAAAATCATACTATGACATCCATACTCGACCAGTTAAATATAAAGTCGGTGAGTATGTCCACATAAAGAACCATTTGAGATTGCGGAAAGCACTCTCTCCTCTCTGGAAAGGACCCTATAAAATAGTTAAGGTAAATAACAACAATACACTTACCTTGCTAATCAATCGACGCCATGTCACGCATCACTTCGATCAGGTGAAACCTGCATCGGAAGTCGGAAGTAACCTGTAAATTAAAATAAAATTATAAAATGACTAGTGTCTTAAAAGTTAGGAAAAATATATACACTTACCTATAAGCGTAGTCTCGCCATCTGAAAATTATTAATAAATAGTTAGTAAAGTTATCAAATATACAAAATATAATTATTAAAAATGTTAGATTAATCAATACCTACCTTTGTTAGTATTAATTACAGTGATTATTTACAGAACTCCAACTCGATGTCAATCGCATCAAGATTATATTCAACCGATAACTTCGAGTGCAGGAATCTACTTTGATTACTTAGGGACATTAAAAATCAATAACGCCCAACTAAAGCGTTAATTCCTATAGATATCTCGCACTTTGGCCCCCACATTATAAATGTAGGAAACACTCTAGAAACAATTAAATTTTTATGTGATCAAACTCGAATATTAGAAATTATTACCGAATGTCACAATATGCTTCAACCATTAGCTGTACGTAACCGGGACTTGAACAAGGATTTTGAATCCATCTCACACTTGTTAGATAACAGAACCAAGCGTAGCGCCTGGTTTGGAGGTATTGGTACAATATTAAAACATATATTCGGTACCCTAGATGAAGATGATGCTTTAAAGTATGATGAAGCAATAACTTCCGTACAAAATGATGAAAAACAATTGGCTTCTCTGATGAAAGAAAACATTTTAGTGACTACCTCTGTAATAAAATATTATAATGATACATTAAACAAAATAAAAAGTAACGAAGCAAAATTAACAACAGCTATCGACAATCTCTCTATTATGATTAAAAATATTTCCGAAATAACCAATGGTCTACAAATATCTATTAGTATTAATGAAATTTTTGATAGCTTAGAAACCTCGATTCTGACACTATCCTTTCAATTAGAAGATATTATAAACGCTATTTTATTTAGCAGTAAGGATGTTTTACACCCAGCCGTTATAACGCCAAATCAGTTATACCGAGAGCTTGCCGATAATTATAGATATCTACCTAGTAATTTAGTATTGCCTGTTTCCTTAGATATTAAGAATATACATTTAATTTTAAGACTTTGTAAGATAACTTTGTAAGATACTAAGATGTTGTTTCATAATATAGCTCTGCCTACGCCATATAATCCAAAGGAACCAAATTCATTTAGTCTAATTGTACCTAATAATAAATACATTGCAATGACCAAAGACAAAACACATTACAGCAATATTGACGATTTAGGAAAGTGTAAAATTGTGCAACCAGGAACATTCATCTGTGATGTAAACAATGTGTACTCGGTGGACGCTAAACCATCCTGTGAAAGTGAACTTATATCTAAAGTGATCAGTGAAATCCCGTTACAGTGTGAAACTAAATTTATTTTCGGGAAATTAGATATCTGGAAACCATTAATAAACAATAAGTGGATTTATGTTCAATCCGATCCAAATAAAATTTCTATAGATTGTATGAATTCTCAACTATTTGAAGCAAATATTCTGGGCACAGGCATAATTACGATTCCCGATGGTTGTATCGGATTTTGTAAAAGCACTACATTGTTACCTAAATATAATGTTCTAAATATTACCTCGCCCATAAGTTATGTGCCTAATTATAGCCTTATCAATGACACCTGTTGTAATATTAATAAGTTCAATCATGTTGTAGAAAATGTGTCTCCTATAAAGTTACAAAATATAGACTTAGACGAATTTAATTCAAAAAATAAATTAAATATTGATTCTTCATTAAGTAATCTAAAAATAATAGAAAGTAAACCTCACATTATTCAATATGGGACACATTACTCTACCATTATTATTATAATTTCTATTTTAATCCTGTTGTATTTAGGATATTTGGGTTTTAAGCTTTTCCGTCGATTCCGTAACACTCGCCTTATAAATAAAAATAGTAAAATCACTCCTAAAGTGGAATTCATAAAAACTACACCTCGGCCTCATTTAAAATTTATACAACCTGAAATTGAACAAAGTAGTAATTCTGAATCCGATAATATTGCACCGCTTAGAACCCAAATTTAATGTCATTATTATTAAGTAGTATCCAGAGATTTTATGTTATCATCCCTAAAATCTCTTCTTAAAGGGGGGAGATGTTATACCCCGTATTTGTTAGCCTTATTGCTGCACTGCCCCTTAATAATGTCGACTTAGCCTTAAGGTTCAGTGAATATAGCAGTGGAGCAGTTCGGCCAAGGCAGTCTGCTTCCATCTTCGAACCTGCTCGGTTGTCTACGGACCTTAGTTAATTTCCAACCAGTTTGTAATATTTAATTCATTTATACTCAATTAAATTTCAGTGTTAAATAAATCTTTTTTTAAAAACCTATTAGCCCGTCTCCGTATAACAGAACCATCAGTACTTCTAAGTGTACCAGATCAAACGAACGAATCATGCATGATTAACACATGTCTAGTAACTATTACAAATATATGCACACCTAAACAAGTCTACGTCGTGTATATATATATATATATATATATATATATATATATATATATATATATGTACGACGTACACTTATATAAATTAGCTGAGTAGGCAGACATTTTTCTGCCTTTTCCGACGACCCTTTGTCCTATAAAAATATCCTTAAATTCGCAACAAAATATGTTGCGGGTCATTAAACGGTACAAAAACCATACCATCTCTGAAGTTGGATCAAACTGCACACAATGTGCAAAATTTCATTGAAATCAGTTCAGTACTTTAGGAGTTTTAATTTTTATATATAAAAACAGAATTGAAGTGTCTGTAATATTGAACTGGCTTGCTTCCATTGAGCTAGGGTGTTATTTGCATGTTATAAGACATAATATATAAAAATGTTGTCTGTCTGTTGGCTGAAGCGATTTTTTTATTTAAAATAAATCAAATACAAAACCTAAATTATTTTATCACGGTGTCGCAAAAACCTAATTGTAATTAAACTTTAAGAAAGAGCAATGCCAGGAGGGTTTAGATCCCTAAGCTATATTTTATATGAAGAACTTGAAGATAAAAAAAATTGATACAATTAAATAGCCTTTGATAATTCTAAATCCAAATAATGCTATATTAGTAGACCCTATCCAGGCGACGCCTTCGCTTGTATTAAATATAAAAACCGACGTGTAACCCTATCAAAGAAAAAAAAACTAAGAATGAAATGATATAATTTCAGAATTCCTCAAGCAGAAGCTAGAAGACTACCTAGCACAACACCTGCCTAAAGTGAAAGTCCTCAGATTACAAGAAAGGAGTGGCTTGATAGCGGCCCGGCTAGCGGGGGCGCGAGTGGCGAAGGCCGACGTTCTCCTCTTTCTGGACTCTCACACGGAAGCCAGCGTCAATTGGTTGCCACCATTGTTAGGTATGTGTTTTTCTTTATTTGTTGACTACAAAGTGGACTCATTGGCCTCCAGTGGCGAAGCTTCCATAAAAGCCGAAAAGCCGGGCTTGCCATATTAAAACTGAATCAATCAATAATATCAACTAATAAAATAATTCGTAAAATGTTTCAAGCTATTTCAAATTTCCCGCGCACTCCACTGTTCGACATGTGTCGACCGATGACCTCGTATTGCCTTAGCGATACTGCTGCCGTCATAAAAAATGAGTTTTAATAGAGCGATTAGTTGTCTCCCTTGCTCGCGTGGGCTTTTTACGAGTCTTTCGAGAAGACGATCGCTCTCTTTCTAACCTGTGGCAAAATATTCTATAATGAAATATAACTACGATTATTAGTTATATTTCATTATAATATATAGCAATTAGTATGGAGATTTAAAGCCAGGCTTTTGGGAAAAAATTTGTTAAAAGCTGAGGCGCGCGGGCAATACGTTTGCAAGTTCATTTCACGTTTCAATGTTTATTTACTCTGTGTGCTTATCTTAAGTGATTTAATATTACAAGTTGAAAATTAATGCTTTTAAAGATTTTTAATGAAAATGGAGGATAATAGTGTTCCTTGTGATGAATTGAAGTGTGTTAAAGTGCTAATCGGAGAGGAAATCTTTAAACTTTGCTGAGATAATACACAAGGTTAAGAGTGTATTTCAGACTTACCTATCAATTATCACAATTAAAAAACAGTTATTGGTACAATTAAGACGTTCACCAACATTTTACGTGGACGTAATTAAATCTTTCCATAAGAAAGCGAGGCGATTCCACTTATCTTATCTCTTATCTATTAGGATGTAAATAATTTTTTTTAATTTTGTACATAGTTTGTACTTTGTTCATGTTTTACTTTTGTTCATGTATTGTATTGGATGTAAATATTTTTTTCTTTCGCTTAAACAAACCCATACGGCTTTCTTCAAAGCCACCGAAGCTATGCAATTGCTGATATGTAATACAATCTATCTCTAGCAGTGGTATGCCTTCTGTGTGCTTTGTTAAACACGTTCTTGACAGCACTAAATATGAAACTGAAGCGTGGAGACAGATCAAGATTCGTGTATTTTTATAAAATTGCTAAAAACAACAATCTATATTATTATCAATTTATATCTTGGGCTTGCCCTAGCTTGGAGCTCCAGCTTCGCCACTGTTGGCCTCCCCATTGGGGGTAGACCATAAAATACGATAAAATTCACATTATTTAACTAAACAAGTTATGTAACACATTTTAACCTTTTTCTTAATTTTGTCACGTTATATCACTTCTTCATATTTTAAAATTGAATTATAGACAGCGGCGGGAGTCTTGAGCACCGAGTGGTAGTATTTGTGCATGTACATTCATTTACACGTCAAATTCTCCCCACTCCCATGCGCTGACTGGTAGAGAATGCCTCAAGGCATTAAGTTCGCCCTTTGTATTCTTTTGTTATACATAAGGAATGCAATAAATAAATACATAAAAACCACTCAAACTCAGAAGGGTAGGCAGGGACTATGGACTTCCATTTGGCACGATCTTAACACGCCTTTCTTGTCTCCTTTACATCCATATACCTACGCATACATTCTCGTCGATTAAAGGTACTTACTTATTTAATCTGGCCCATTTTCAATATATCGCCAATTTGATCGATAAACTTTCGTTTAGGGCGTATCTTTCCGACTCTTCAGTTCACTTCAGCAACATAAATTTGTTTTGTCATTCTTTCCTCGTTCATTCTGTCCATATGGCCAAAGCACCGAAGCATTCCTTTCTTAATCCTGGTCAACAACATCATCTTGAAAACCACACTTTTCTCTTATCACATAATTTCTCACCCTGTCATTCAGATTCAGGTTCAGTTAAATAAATAAAATTTTCACGTCACGTGAATATCCAATGATTGAAGAAAATCCACCCTAGTATTTTAGCAATGAGACCTATATAAATCGACCGTTGCGCAAGTCAAGGTTGTGCTCACGACTTGTAACCACTAATAGTTATAGCCTAATAAATTCCACTGGGCTAGCGTCGCCTCTTATTTCTGTGTGGGGCTTGGGTCGTGTTGCGGACTTCAGATGTCCTTGATATTTTTAAATTATCAAAAATTTTAAACCCCATTATCTTATCGTTATTGCCTATCGATAGTTGCTCATAAATTGCCTCATAGGGGGATATTTGCCACAGTTGCCACCGCAATTTGGTCGCAATAACCGCATTTTTAATTAATTTTGATTTAGTGTCAGAAAGATGCTGCTGACCATCTCCTGTTCATCGTTTCCCTCTGTCGCATATTACGACACCCACGGAATTATATGGGATAGTGGATGTACTCATACCACCGGTAGTAAATATTGATTTAAACGCAATTTTTTTTTAATAATAAGTTCTTTATTTCCAAGAGGTTGTACATCAAGATATTTGCTTAACATTTAATAAAATTTCGTGAACGCACTACGCGGCAAACGTCGCGATACCATCCACATCATCTGGATGCTTGGCGGTCCACCACTGTACGTTTCAAGAGGAGTTTTCTTCCGCGTACAACCTCTCTGTGGAATAGTTTACCACCAGCGATTTTTCCGGACCGATACGATCTGGGGACCTTTAAGAAAAGAGCGTACTCCTTTCTAAAGGGCCGGCAACGCACCTGCAATTCCCCTGGTGTTGCGGTTGATCATGGGCGGCGGTAGTCACTTAACATCAGGTGAACCGCATGCTCGTTTGCCCCCTCTTCTATAAAAAAAGCTACATTTGTACATATACCTGAAAACATAGCATCTGCAGCCGAACTAGGAGACCTATGCATCACCTGTGAGCACCATATCCCCACCGTTAATTTATAAAAATATTAGGATGCGAGCAAAAGTTAAATGCAAGCAAAAATTAAAGTTAAAATGAAATTAATTGGATCACATATTATGTTTATATACTATGTTACCACTTATTACTTATACCAAGGTACAAACAAGATAATAATTTATACTACTAATGTCGTTCCTCTCTCATAAGATGTGTAATGTATGACTGTAAGAAGTAATTGTGTTATGAGTGTAATGTGTATGAGCAGTTATGGAAGAGGAGCATGTAAAATGTGTGTGTATACATGTATGTGTGTATATGTGTGTGTGTGTGTGTGTGTGTGTGTGTGTGTGTGTGTGTGTGTGTGTGTGTGTCGTCGTGTGCGTGTGCGTGTGCGTGTGCGTGTGCGTGTGCGTGTGCGTGTGCGCGTGCCGTGCGGCCGCGTGCGCGTGCGCGTGCGCGTGCGCGTGCCGTGCGCGCGCGCGTTTGTGTGTGTGTGTGTGTTTGCTCATGTACGTGTGTGTGTCCGGTTATTATGATTTTATACGGGTAGTTTTACAGATGACAGTTATATAAGAATTTATGTTTAAGTCTGAATACTAAGAAGCTTTTCAGTTTCGTTATAAGTAATTTTTGTAGCTAATTATGTACAGTTTTTTTACAATTTATTTTATTAAGGTGGTAAATGTCTAATGTTTTATTTCGTTTATTATATAAGTGTGGTCCCAAAAATGCAAAGAATTTTCTTATAAAAGTTGTTTTAAAATTAGTTGTATCTACGGAAAATTTCCTGCGTTTGTTTAAGTTCGTTCGGTTGTATAACAATAAGCTATGTTGTTTCTGAATGATCGCTAATATAAACAGTTGTCTTACTGTAAGGACTTGACAGTTAGCATAAAGCTGTGATGTAGGATAAAGAAAAGGTTTAAATGTTACAACTTTGAGTATAGCACATTGTTGGCGACGCGCCTATTAGAATATTTCAGTCTATTAAGTCAACCGATGACGAATAACTTCTCAAAGGCATATTGTCCAATAGCAAGGTTCTGATAAGAAAATGCTTAGTTAAATCTTAAAGAAATATCGAAATAATGATATGAAGGTCTTGGGTTCGACTCCCAGGCCGAACTAGTTTATTTGTTTTCCTAAGTAATATCGCTTAATAAATTCATAAGGAATTTAAGATATAAATTATGTTACCGGATTGTTTCCCCGGTTGAAATCATCTTTCCAATGATGTAAATTCAAAGGAATATTAAAGTGAAGTTAGAGATCGGATTTGTTCCCCGGTCGAGATGATCACTCTGTGCATAAATAGAATTAACGGAAATTAATTGCATAAGTATTGTCTTATATAAGTTTGATATGTTTTGTACGAAAACAAATGCCTATTTGCCATGATTGATTTATGAGAACATTCACTTATATTGTTATCTGATAAGAAACATGATAACTGATAAGAATCTGATTAGAAATAGTTTCCTACAGTTTGAAAATTGTGTAGTTGCATTTATTCACCCAATATTGTTAAAATTGGTGTATATCAGACTTTCATTTTTTCTGATAGCCGAGAGCCGTGCAAAAGTTAGTTGTTCAAATAGTGTGAGTTAATAGACGCACGCTAGCCAAGTACTTAGGAGGCCAAATATGTAAAATTTAAATATTTGTAATTTCAGTAATTTATGTAAAAATGACTTGTAAAACATTTCAGGTTGATTGTACGTGCTAAAAAGGTGAATTCTGTGTTATTTTTATGTGAAAATTCCTGTGTATAAGTGAAATAATGATAGTTTTGTATAAGAAATTTAAAAGTGTTTTAATAGTGAAATAAATAGAGAAAATGTAAATTAAACTATTGTATTAGTTAACATATGTATAATTTCAAGTGGAAAACATTGTTTTAACTTTCTATGTTAAATATTTAAGAAATTTCGACTTTGAACTTGTGAGTAAAATAGGCGTATTTTGTTAAATAAATAATAGGTTTTCGTGATATGAAAATGTAATGTATATCGTAGTGTAGATATTGTTTTGTGCTATCTATACAGGTAAATTATGTTGATGTATGACTTATGCAAATAAAGTAATTAAGTAAAACGTGAGAGAGTAATAGAACAAATTCATGTAATTGAGTTGCGCAAGCGCGCGAATAGCGCGGCTCACTTTCGCGTATAGCTCTGGGGTAGCTTAGTAAATCAGTTTTATTGCAATTCGTTCGGGAAGTTCGGGGAAGTTCGGAGAAACTTCGGGAAAAGTGCAAGACCAGCAGTCAATAAGAAGAAGAAAGAAAAAGTGTAGGGAAGTGATAGGGAAAAGTAATTACTCTCTCACGGAACGGTTTGAAGATAATTGCTGTTTTATTCCCAAGAAATTCATCCCTCAAAATTATACAGTCCACATCGAAGAATTAAGGCGTTGGGAACGGGACGACTTCGGAAGACTCGTAATCCCCGTCTGAACCTACTCGCTGAAAAGGAAGAGGTTATCGCCCTTGTGTGCTACTCCGTTGCGGAGATCACATACGTTGTTCCCGAACCCAACGTAGGCGTTATAGGAGGCCGGATCGAGAGAAGCCTCGATTCCTCCCTTCTGTTTCTTAATCGAACGTTTAATCCCCGTTGGTCCTTTTCAATTGGTCCTTCGCGGCCAGATCAAGAGGACCCCCGAACCTGGGTTCCTTTTCACCCATTGAGAGATTTCTATCTTTTGTAGCACCGTTTTAGAGGCACCACCCCACGTTGATATGCAGTATGTTATAATAGACTGACATAAAGCTAAGTAAACTCGTTTTAATATATCTGGATCCAAAACGTGTCTAATAGTTTTAAAAATATATATTAATTTATGAATTCTTTTGCTAAGTGTGTTAATATGTTGTTTAAAATTTAAATTACTATCTATTATAACCCCTAGATATTTAATATATTCAACAGACTCAAGTGAAAGTCAATTTAACCCCTCAATGTCAAACTTCTTACTCCCAAGCTCCCAAGTGAACTCTTACCTACTGTACTGTGGTTTTTAAATTTCCGTCCTCACCAACAGGGCGAATATTTTGTAATTTGCAGGGTAGTGGATATAGTTACACCGTCGGTGGTTATAATTAATTGAATATAATCGGAATTAAAGCCCTCAATGTTAAACATCGCACGCCTAAATGAACTAACTCTTTCTCGCCCTTCTTCTAAAATTGCAGAAAATATACAAAATCTGACTATTAAAAACTTTAGTGAACAAAGTTTGTTTAAAAAGGGTTATTGAAAACTTTAGTGAACAAAGTTTGTTTAAAAAGGGTTATTATAATATTAAGGAATTTATGGATGATACCATGCTATTCTAATTTGTTTTATGTTTTTAATGATTGTTCTGTTCTTTTTTTTATAAAATAAAAGTCCCCCTGGGTTTCTTGCTGGTTCTTCCCGGGACAGAGGTGTTTCTGACCCAGTTACTACTGTATAATAACAAAGGAGTTACTTTCAATAAGTTTTATTTACAATCTATATTGAATAAAAAAGTTTTTGTTTCAATTTCTATTACAAATGTATTATAACTTCCCCTGTTGTTATAAAATGTTTTGTATAACAATATGTTTTTTATATATAAATATGTTTCATAAGAATGTTTTCCAACAGAACCGATAGCACTGAACTACCGTACGGTTGTCTGTCCGTTTATCGGTGTGATTGCGTACGACACGTTCGAGTACCGCGCACAAGACGAAGGCGCCCGAGGTGCCTTCGACTGGGAACTGTTCTACAAACGACTGCCCGTGCTGCCCAAAGATGAGGCCAACATGCCGGAGCCTTTCGAGTGAGTCATATATAATTTTTTTAAAACTATAAAACGAAAAAGCGACACTAAAAGAGATAAACATACACTAAAGGACCTGTGAGAGAATGAGATAGAATACAGAATACATGTAAATGTTGTAGAATTTTGAATGTTTTATATTATCTCGGTGTCCTCTTTGTACCGTGTTTTAAAGATGGTTGATATAACTTTTAGGTGTTAAAATAAATTAACAAATTTATTAAATAAATAAAATTAACCATATCTAAATAAAAGATAGACCGATAGATAACACTTTATTGCACGCCAAAAAAAACATAAATATTGACAAAAAAAAGGAGAGAAAAAATGTGGTACAATGGAAGATCTTATCGCTAAAAACGATCTCTTCCAGACAACCTTTGGATGGACAGAATTGCAAGAAAACAATAAAAACATTAGTGTGGTTCGGCGATAAAAATTACATTATTTTTATTACCTATAAACCATAAAATAGAAATAAAGATACATAATGTAGAATAGTATATAAATACATAAATAAGATAATGTATATACAGTGGCGGCTCATATTAAGTTGAAAACAGGAAGGCACCTCGGAAGATTCTTACGAAGAAGGTACAGGACGCTTTTTTTTTAACATGGGGAAATGCCTACGCATACCCACCTCGCGGGGGCAAGGACGGGTTATGTCGGACTCGCACCGACTAAAACCCCATGGTGTTCCACCTTCGTCGCATATTGGCAGGGCTACGGGAACGCTTTCGCACACTTCCGCGGCCCTACCAGCGACTGTCGCCCCATGGCAGCACCTCCTCGGGAGAGGAATATTCCTCCCCGTTCTCCTTCCCAAGTAAGGCGCACCAGAACACATGGCACGCCTTACTCCACGGCCTCCAATTGCATCTGCGCAACAGACGCCCCCCGTGTCCGATGCGCGAAGGCCATGGGGCCAGGAAAAACGAGCACTTAGAAGTACTAGCCTTCCCGACCCCAGCGGCGGATCTGGTCTATGGCTCCGCCGCCAACCAAGATTCGGCTGCGGAGGATAGGGAGAGCGGCGCCTCGCAATACCGACAATCCTCTCCCCCCGCAGCCCCATCACCACCGCATCAACGGTGCGGCCCCATTTGAGTCGCGGAGGATAGGGCGAGTGGCGAGTCCACAATAAGCAGCAAAGACACTGGTCGTCTATACATTGTGGAGGGAACGATGCGGAAGGATCAATATATCCAGGTCCTTGAAACAAAAATGCTGCCCCAGGTCCAGGAGTGGTTTCCGAACGGCGAATTTACGTTCATGCATGACTCTGCTCCTTGCCACAAAGCAAAAAAAGGTCACGAAATTTTTAAATGCCCAGAAAGTAAAAGTTCTTGACTGGCCTGGGAATTCGCCGGACCTCAATCCCATAGAGAACCTCTGGCAGTTGATGAAACGAGAAATTTCCAGAGAACTCATCACTAATAAACGCCAACTGATCGAGCGTTTGATAGATGTTTGGTACAGGAGTGAATCAATTAAGATAAACTGCTCAAAATGTATCGAAAGTATGTCCAGGAGAATTCAGGCGGTTATAGAAGCAAAAGGTGGTGTCACTAAATATTGATTTAATTTATATTTTTATATTTATTGCACTTATTAAATACATAAGTTCCTTTTTCTTAAGTGTATTAATAAAGCAATATACTTAATAAGATGATGATGATAGACAAATGACAGGGTAAGAAATTGTGTAATAAGAGAACAGTGTGTTTTGCAAGATGATGTTGTGACCAGGATTAAGAAAGGAATGCTTCGGTGGTTTGGTCATGTGGAAAGAATGAATGAGGAAAGAGTGACAAAGAAAATTTATGTTGCAGAAGTGAATGGCAGAGTCGGAAAGAGACGTCCTAGGCGAAAATTTATCGACCAAATTGGCGATTTATTGAAAACGGGTCAAATTAGGGGTACCCTTAACCGACGAGCATCTATGCGTAGGTGTATGGATGTGAAGGAGGCGAGAGAGGTGTGTCAGGATCGTGCCAAATGGAAGTCTGTAGTCTCTGCCTACCCCTCTGGGAGACAGGCGTGAGTGTTTATGTATGTTATGTATGTATACTTAATAAATATATTCTAAACAAACAAAAAACCTTCACATCCTGATTTTATTTCTACCTAAACTAAAATTAATCTACTTTTTTACTGTGGCCGGCTATATATATATATATATATATATATATATATAATATATATATATATATATATATAATATATAAAAGTAACAAATATATTTTTAGAACTTTTAATTTTATTTATTACATATTATAACATAAATGTAAAAGTATCAAATCCCATCCATTCTTATCAATCCACAGTTTCATAATTTACTGATTAATATTAAATTATTTTATTGTTATTTTATTTTGTTTTGTTCGTAAATTAGTCGTGTTTAGGCGATATAGCGTCTATTTTACGTACCACCTTGACAGTCAATCAATTTTTATTCCTTAAAAAGGAGTTACCTATAGAATGAAAGTAGATGGCGCTATTAAAAAGCAATTGTACTCGCAATTTTCTGGTTTCATTCTTCTGGTTTGGTTGGTCAAGGTTTCACTTCTACCGCGTGTAAACTGTACATATATTCCCTTTTATAGAATAAGGGTGACACACGAGCACACAGTGCACGTGGTAAGTGGATACTGTGGCCCATAGACATCTCATATATATCCTCAGTTAAGAATCAAAATGCAGATGTGTTGTCACCCCTGCGGATTAAGATGTCATCTACATTAAAAAGGGTTGACCGGGGTAGGACTACTCTCTCACAGAATAATAACGTGAAATAGCAGCTTATGCTTCTGAATTTCGTGTGGTGAGTGTATAGAACCGGAGATAGGAATAGCGAACTGGAAACGTGTCTGAGAAACAAACGGTTGACGGGCACCAGAGATAAAAGTGTGCGGTGTTATTTCTGGGTGTCCGATCGTCAAGCGAGACGAAAATTCTCCTTACAAGCTGAAAGACGTCCAGCTGTGGACTTTATTGATAAATTGATCTATACATAAATAAAATTGAATTTCTGTGTGTATTATTTTCTGTATTATAATGGCCTCCAGACCGAATTTCGGCCACTGCGGCCACTCTCAACGGAGATTAGCCATCTGCGCAGGACAAGATTATATTGCCCAATTGTAAGCGCCAGCAATAAGGGTGAAACACCGCCAACCTCCTGACTCCGGGTTGCTGGTATTCTGTGAGAGTCTTTTCTCGGTCGAGCCGAGCCATTCGTGCAACAACTGTGATATAGCTGCAGCGTGCTTTTACCACGTGAAAATCACCACGTGTTCTTTATCGGCAAGGTTTTTGACGTGGTAGAGCTACACGACATGATATAGCTGCAGCATGGTTTTACCACGTATAAACTTACAGGAGTCCAGTTATGGCGGGCGGCTTGTTCGCGATATCGCGCAAGTTCTTCTGGGAACTGGGCGGGTACGATCCCGGCTTGGACATCTGGGGCGGGGAGCAATACGAACTTAGCTTTAAGGTAAGTTCTAGAAATAATCCATCAAACCGTGTTTTCCCGTGGGTGTGAGAAGCTATATAGATAGAAAGAGGCGATTGTGGGACATGTCCATCCTGTCATCTTCTGGCCACCGATATGTTTATTTCGTATATAGCAGATATCAGCGGCAATCGCCAATTTGTCCTTCAAGCGTGGCGATTGTGGCGAACCCCTTCTACAATAATGAGACATTGATTATTGCATAAATAGGTCCCCCGAGCCTAAAATGTACATAGTGTAGACCTCTTGTTAGGTTAAGTTTCAGTTTAAATACAGGAAACTTAGTTACATAAATGAATAAAGCTGTACCAAGAAGAAAATCAATAATTGTTTGACTATGGAACCAGACGTTGCATTTTCAGTTTCATATTATATCAATTTGAATTTGATGCTAAGTACATTTAATTAGTGAATCGGACAAATTTTTGTTCCATGTGTTTAAAATTAAAAGAGTAATGTAGGTTAGCAGTGATGCGATATATGAAATTCAATACTCTAAAGCAAAATTTATTGATTTCGGGTGAGGAATTCAAGGCATTGTGAATTTTTTTCTCGTTACATGGTTAAATAAGCGCTCTATCACGTAATTTATTTTTTACCTAGTAGAGCCATGCTCCAGCTATATTACTGGTATAGTTGTAGCAGGAATGGGTCGGCACAATCGGGGAAGGACCACGCTCTTACAGAATACCAGCATAAAATAGCAACTTAATGCTACTGTGTTTCGTATGGTGAGTGTAGAGAACCCGATACCCTTTTTACTGGAAATGAGGCATTCCATCTTAGTCCTCATCTGTATTTTGATTCGTAGTTGAGGATAGATTTAAATGTCACATCAACCAATTAACATCTGGTGGACTGTGTGCACGTTTGTCACCCATATTCTGTAAGAAAAGTAATATAAGTATTAAAACAGCATTTATATTTTCCAACTTTTATCCACTCTTTGACTTAAGTATCTTTTAATTTAATACTTTTATCCAACATCTAGTGCTGAACATTGACCTTTCGCAAGGAATGCCACAAAACATTTTCTTGAGCCACTTGCTTACATTCATTACATTATACATTACATTACTTATCCTCTATTATTTTGTTTAAAAATTTGATCGCAATATGTGGAATATGTGGATGCGTTAAATTGTGAAGTTTTGGGAGATTTAGACGGCAGCTTGAGCCAGTAGACAGTCAATAATGACGATAGTATCACAAAGTGCCCAAGCAGACACTATCAGTACGCATATGATTCATCATTTTCAGTAATAGTTCACATGGATAAACATTCAAATTTTATACACAAAATCGCACTACTTTTATGTTTTAAAATACACAACCACTATAATCTATATATAGTGGCCGGCTTTTTTTTACCGTCTGGAAAAAAAATAGGGTGATATTTAGTATAGTTATTTATTTCGCAAAGTAGACGCTCGCTATGAACGGGTTTTAAGATAATCCCATAATTTTTTTTTAATTATTTTACATCCGTGCGCCCAGCGAAGCGAGCGGTTATCAGCTAGTGATATATACACAAATATACCAATAAAAATAAAGGTAACGGTTTTCAGATATGGCAGTGTGGGGGGAGAATGGTGGACGCACCGTGCTCACGGGTGGGACACATCTACCGCAAGTTTGCTCCCTTCCCCAACCCGGGCCACGGCGACTTCGTTGGCCGAGTACGTATAATATTGTTGCGTGGGGGATGAGTAAACCTGCCCATTAGGATGAGAAATTGATGTATTCTTCCATACACATACACGCACACACACACACACACACACACACACACACACACACACACACGCACGCACGCACGCACGCACACACGCACACACATACACACACACACACACACACACACACACACACACACGCACGCACACACAGACACAGGTACACGCACATGTGCACGCACACGTACACACAGACGTACACACACGTACACACACACACACGTACACACACAACAAACACACACACACACACACACACACACACACACACACGAACGCACGCACACACACACACACATGCGCACACACAGACACAGGTACACGCACATGTACACGCACGCGTACACACAGACGTACACACACACACTTACACACACACACGTCACCACGAAAACAACAAAAATAACCACACTACACACACACGCGCACACACGCACACACATCACACACACAATCACACATACATACACACACGCACACGCACATGCGCGCACACACACACAACAAAACACACACACACACACACACACACACACACACACACACACAACGTACACACACACAACGTACACACACACACACACACACACACACACACACACAACACACACACACACACACACACACACACAACGTACACACACACACACACACACACACACACACACACAAACACACACACACACACACACACACACACACACACACACACACACAACGTACACACACACACACAATTACAATAAAAATAAAATGGATTTTTGTGAAGTCAAATTAGGTCACTATTTCATCTAACTGCTACTGTACTGGTTAAAATTTAGAATTATTTGGCAGGATTATTTTAACAGTGGTAGAGCCACGCGGCAGCTTTGCTGTTGCACGTATGGGCCGGCTCAAACCGGGGTGGTACCACGACCTCACAGAATACCGGCGTGAAGTGGAAGCTCTGCTTTCGCGTTTCGTCTGGTGAGTGCAGGTGGCCGGAGGCCCAAATCCCCCCCCCCCCCATCAACATGGTAGCGGAATTAAATGATAGACTACCCCAGGAGGGTACCAGCACCCCTGGAGAACCCCTCGCTGAGCATCCACGACCATGTTTCTCCACTTCTGAGCGTGGGTGCTCAGGCTGCCCCGCGTATTCTGGGGGGGGGGGGGGGGGGGCAAAATTCCGCTCAAGACTACAACTGCTTGGGGCAAACGGAGCAACAAGACTAAGGCGACCCCTGCCACGCTGTCCGTGAATTTCTGCAATATCAGGGGACTTCACTCTAACCTAGACGCCGTCTACTACCATCTCGAGACGGCGAGGCCGGCTCTGCTCTTTCTGACCGAGACGCAGGTGTCCTCTCCGGCTGATGTCTCGTATCTCTCCTACCCGGGGTACAAACTGGAACACTCCTTTGTGCCTCGGGCTGGAGTTTGCGTTTACGTCAGAGAGGACATCTGTTCTCGACGCCTCGGCAGACTTGAAGGTTCGGACCTGTCCATCCTTTGGCTACGCGTAGACAGCGACGACCATCCACGCGTCTACGGGTGCCTTTATAGGTCCCATAGCGGTAATGCCGAAACAGACCGACTCTTCGACCACGTCCAAATGGCTGCAGATTCGTTGCTACAGCAGATCCCCTCCGCAGAGATCGTGATCCTCGGCGACTTTAACGCCCATCACGCCGAATGGCTTGGTTCACGTTTAACCGATCATGCGGGGAGATATGTTCATGATTTTGCCTTGGCATATGGTCTGACACAACTGGTTACTTCGCCTACGCGGATTCCAGATGTGGAGGATCATGCACCTTCCCTGTTGGAACTTCTGCTGACCTCTCACCCGGACGGATATCAGATTTCCGTCGACGCCCCTTTAGGCTCCTCGGACCATTGTCCATCAGTGTGGTGCCACTCACGCTGAAAGCGCGGTTGCATTATGCAGGCTGCCGCCGTGTTTGGCACTATAGGTCAGCCGATCGGGATGGGATGCGGTCTTTCTTTGCACCCTTGGGGGCGGGTTTGCTTCTCGCCGGACGATCCCAACGTTGTTGCGGATTCTGTCGCTGATGTGGTACTTCAGGGTATGGAACTTTTTATTCCTTCCTCTGTGGTGCCCATTGGAGGCAAATCTCAGCCATGGTTTGGTCGCTCCTGTAAAATAGCATCATGCTATAAGCAGGAGTGCTACCGGGCCTGGGCTGTCGAAAGAAGAAGTATAATTCCGCCTCTAGGTCCTTCAAAAGAGTCATTGTCAAGGCAAAGTCAGAGCACATAGGCAGAATTGGCGAGAAACTAGTTCTCCTTCCTTCTGGAACCCGTGCATTCTGGTCTCTCGCCAAGGCTGTCCAGGGGAATTTCTGTCAGCCATCTCTTCCATCTCTGCACAGGGAGGACGACTCACTGGCCCATACCGCAAAGGAGAAAGCCGCTCTTCTAGGCTCTTTCTTTGCGTCTAACTCGACTCTCGATGACGGGGGGAGTACGCCGCCGACCATCCCGTGGTGTGAGTGCTCCATGCCGGAAGTGCAGTTCACACAGTGCTCGGTTCGCAAAGCACTCCTCTCCCTGGACATCCACAAGTCGAGTGGGCCTGACGGAATTCCCCCAATTGTGCTGAGGACGTGTGCTCCAGAGTTGGCACCGGTCTTAACGCGTCTTTTCCGGTACTCCTATTTCCTGGGCGTAGTTCCAAAATCATGGAAGACGGCTTTCGTCCACCCGATCCCTAAAAAAGGCGACCGCTCAGACCCGTCCAACTACCGGCCTATCGCCATCACCTCCTTGTTCTCCAAAACAATGGAGTCCATTGTAAACTGCCAGCTCATGAGGTACCTTGAGGATCACCAGCTGATTAGTGAACGCCAATACGGTTTTCGCCGTGGTCGGTCAGCTGGTGATCTTCTTGTCTACCTAACTCACAGATGGGCGGAGGCAGTAGAGTCCAAGGGGGAGGCATTGGCCGTTAGTTTGGACATTGCGAGGCCTTCGATCGGGTTTGGCACAAAGCGCTTCTTTCGAAGCTCCCTTACTATGGGCTTCCCGAGAAATTGTGCGATTGGATCACCAGCTTTCTTGCAGATCGGAGCATCAAGGTCGTTGTTGACGGTGCAAGCTCCGATTGCAAGCCTATTAATGCTGGTGTTCTACAGGGCTGCGTGCTATCGCCAACGCTGTTTCTTCTGCATATCAATGATATGTTGCAAACCCGTAACATTCATTGCTATGCAGATGACAGCACTGGTGATGCTCTTTACACCGGCCGAGCCAATATTTCTCGGTAAAACGTCTCCGAGTGCCGGAACAAACTTGTGTCTGAAGAGTCTTTGCTGAACAGAGTCTCGGATTGGGGGCGACTAAATCTAATCCAGTTTAACACCCAGAAGACACAAGTTTGCGCGTTAACCGCTAAAAAGAACCCTTTTGTCGTATCCCCTCAGTTTCAAGGCACTCCCCTTGTTGCCTCAGTCAGTATCGGAATCCTCGGCGTCGACATATCGAGTGACGTGCAGTTTCGTGGTCACTTGGAAGGGAAGGCCAAATTGGCCTCCAAAAAGCTTGGCGTGCTCAGCAGAGCGGGACAGTATTTCATGCCGGCACACCGCCTGCAACATTACAAGGCGCAGGTTCGGCCGCACATGGAATACTGTTCCTATCTCTGGGCTGGGGCTCCCCAGTACCAGCTCCTTCCACTTGACCGCATCCAGCGCAGAGCGGCTCGAATCGTCGACGACCGAGTGCTTTCCGATCAGCTCGATTCACTGGCACTGCGAAGAGATGTTGCATCCCTTTGCATTTTCTTTCGCATATACCATGGAGAGTGCTCTGAGGAATTGTTCGGATTAATCCCAGCCGCCAAATTTCGTGAACGCACTACGCGGCAAACGTCCCGATACCATCCACACCATCTGGATACTTGGCGGTCCACCACTGTACGTTTCAAAAGGAGTTTTCTTCCGCGTACAACTTCTCTGTGGAATAGTTTACCACCAGCGATTTTTCCGGACCGATACGACCTGGGGACCTTCAAGAAAAGAGCTTACTCCTTTCTAAAGGGCCGGCAACGCACCTGCAATTCCCCTGATGTTGCGGTTGATCATGGGCGGCGGTAATCACTTAACATCAGGTGAGCCGCATGCTCGTTTGCAAGAAGTTTCTTTAAAAGAAATTAAATTTTGCCGTCCTAAGTAAATTTATTTTCTTTTCATGTTTTCATTGATATATCTTGATATTATTTAATAAATTTCTCGCTGACATTATTGTATCACCTTAATAGCCTATAAAATTCTACTGCTAAATATGGACCCATGGAGGAGGGGGGGGGGGGGTCCATATCCTGCTGGACATGCTTAGTTTTTTTAAATAAATTTTGAAAAAATCTAATTTGAGGTTGTGTTTTTGTAATGTTTTTGACTATGATTTATGGGGGGCGAGAGTTAGGGGAGGGAAGCACCACGTGGCGTGGTAAAGGGAAGCCCGGAAGTGGGGCTCCGTCGACCTCCTACTTCTAAATGGTTTACAAAAAAATTACCACGAAGGACCATTCCCTTCGTGGTAATTTTTTTGTAAACCATTCTAGTATCTAGAGTCTATTTGCTCGCTTCGCTCGCTCACTCGACCCCGACATCCCCTTCTGAGCTAACTTTCCGAGTCGGGGTTGCCCTAAGTCCCGAGCTTGCTTCACTCGCTCTTGCACTCAACAAAACCCCAATATATTAGCTTTTATAACTGCTTTAAATTATAAACATAATGTATAATACAATAATAAGCATACGGCTACTACGGGTACTATGGCTCGTACAGGTTACTGCGATTTGCTTACGACGTGCGGGGGCTGTTCTCCCTCCGCGCCTACGGCTTTACAAAAAACTTTAGGAGTAGGCAGATAAGACTACGTGGATTCGGGGCGTGCTGATTTAATTTTAGCACAGATTCGATTAGATCAGATATCTATAAAGTCAGGTTGCCTTTGCTCCCGCCACAGTCACAAAATTCTGTATGCTATCCAGCTTTCACAGTAATATCGTATAATTTTTTCTCAGAAAGGCTGGAACCCTGAACCGTAAAGTCAGTTAATAATAAAAAATGTATCATTTTCCATACTTTACGTATTTTAGGTTATAATAGTTTTTATTTATTTTTTCGATAACGGTATATTACCTTTTAATGTGAGTGGTATTATTATAATCGGGGACCAAAACTACCAAATAAAAGACCTTACTCCTCCAAATTCCTGCTAAACAATTCTAAATCCAACCCGCTGCACTAAATGACAGCAGCGCTGATTTTGAAATAGAGCCCAATATTCACTTCACGGACGGTCATACGTTACTTAAAGCTAAACATTAAAAACAACCATTCACAGAAGTGAGTGGGGGAGGAATCAGCATAAAAAAGGTATTATTTGGAACTAATAACACAATGTATAAGTGAACTTGTACACTTGCATATCAATATATATCTATACATCAATACATACGTATATACATCATACATATTTAAATGTACATATACATACAGCGTGGCTCTACCACATATTAAAAAAGTTGAAAATGTCCATCTGTAAGCATTAAATAACAGTTCAAAAACTACACAACAGCGCTAGAGTAGCTAGAGGTTATGAAATGAACTTAGCAGTTGTCGACAGAGTGAAGTGTGCCGAGTTCAGGAATTTAATATTTGTGGTGACTAGAGTAGTTGATGAAACTGCAGTATTTAACTATTCAATTACTCAGGTAGTCTTAAATAATTTAGTAAATATAGCGTAGAAAAAGAAGCCATGAAATATTTGAGAGTGATTTTGAAAATAAACATTTTGAAAACAATAAAATAATTATTATAAAAAATATTTATGGTGAAAGTTTGTGCAATATAAATAAAGTTATAAAATGTGCTTTAAAATTTACCCTCTAGCTACAGTGGTGCCACCCTTATTTAACCCTTTTCTACGGACACTAATGTAACAGAGACGGTTCTCCTTACCTCTACACGCCATGGTTTAGATACGTATCAATACGGAGTCAGTCAGCATGTTTTTCACTGTGAATAATAGCTTAAAAATAACTTTTCTAGAACTATCGACGAGTCGCTGAAGTCTGGATGGACGAGTACGCACAGTACTTATACAAGCGGCGCCCCCATTACTTGAAGATCGACACAGGGGATATCTCCGAGCAGAAGGCGCTCAGGAAAAAGCTCAGCTGCAAGTCATTCCGGTGGTTCATGACTCAGGTTGATCATAGAGTTCTTTTCATTCGTTTTTCAGTTGATATTACTACGATATTAGGCGTGTAGTGAAAGTGTGATAGGGTTTTTTTTTATTTAGGGCGTATATAGGCTGCAACTATACTTTACATTTTTTATAAATATTACTTACATTTTAACAATAACATTATATTCATGTAATCCTTTTCAGAGAATGAATAAAAGGGATACCCTCCATAAAACACGCGATGTTATTAAGGGCGGGTCGGTTAACTACCGCCACATGTTCAAAGATACCTTCGCCGACGACTGTGTTGCCAGATTTAAAAAAATTGCTAAATTTTAGGCAAATCATTAAATAAAACATGTATTTAAAATAACTACAACATTTTTATATTCATTAATAATACAAAGTTTTAATTTTTTTGTTAATTACATTAGTGTAACTATTACCCTTTTTGATTCGAGAGGGTTTTCTATAGATATTGTATAGTGTTGATAGAGCAATTTCTGTTAGCATTACAACAAAGTGTAGCAATATAGTGAATTATATCAGTTTAGGTTAAAATTACCGTGTAGTGGCGTTTTACGAATATCCACTGCCCCACATCGTGCCACATCGTGCCACATCGTGCCACATCGTGCCGCGGGTATCGTGAGAGGCGACAGAGAGAAAATGAAACAGGAAATGGACAGCAGCTTTCTGATAACAACTCAAAATAATACAAAAAAACTTGAGAGGTGCCAAGGGACACCCGGATGGAACGAAGTTCCTATATACATTATTACAGAATATTAAAAGATGATGATGGTAATTATAATCATATGAGTAAGGTTCGATTCTTGCATAGAAAATAATGAAGGTGAAAATGAGTAATTCTTATTGAGATTCATCATCATCATCATCATTACAGCCCTTCACAAGTCCACTGCTGAATATAGGCCTCACCCAAGTAATGCCACAAAGCACGGTCCCGAGCCACCTGCATCCATCTACTTCCTGCATGTCTTACCAGGTCGTCACTGCATCTAGTGGGGGGCGCCCTACACTACGCCTACCGGTACGAGGCTGCCACTCGAGAACCTTTCTTCCCCATCGGTTATCGGTTCTTCGAGCTATATGGCCGGCCCATTGCCACTTCAGCTTACTAATCCGTTGGGCTATGTCGGTTTTACTGCGGATATCCTCATTTCTGAGTCTATCACGCAGAGAAACTCCGAGCATAGCCCTCTCCATAACTCGCTGAGCGACCTTGAGCGTCCTCATACGGCCAGCAGTTAAGGACCACGTCTCTGATCCGTAAGTCATCACTGGCAACACGCACTGGTTGTACACTTTAGTTTTCAGAGATTGAGGTATACCTGACGAGAAGATGTGTCGTAATTTCCCGAACGCTGCCCAGCCGAGTTGAATCCGTCGATTAACCTCTCGGTCGAAGTTGGACTTACCTAGTCGGACTATTTGTCCCAGGTAAACGTACTCGTCAACAACTTCGAGCATAGTGCTCCCCACAACTACCGGCATAGGTGTGACATGGACATTGAACATAATCTTTGTTTTGTCCATGTTCATCTTAAGACCTATCTGTTGGGAGACACCATTGAGGTTATTGAGCATAGTGCTAAGGTCCTCCAGCGATTCTGCCATAAGGACTATATCGTCGGCAAATCGAAGGTGAGTGATGTATTCGCCATTGATGTTAATACCGTATCCTTTTCCAATCCAGTAGCTTGAAAACGTCTTCCAACGCAGCGGTGAAGAGTTTCGGGGATATAAAGTCACCCTGTCTTAAACCTCTCTGCAGTTGGATAGGTTTCGAATTCCGGTTCTGTACTCGGATAACCATCGTAGCCCTACTGTACAAACACTTCAGCACTTCGATATACCGACAGTCAACTTGGCACCGCTGAAGGGACTGTAGCACCGCCCAAATTTCGACGGAATCAAAGGCTTTCTCATAGTCCACATACTCCAGGCAAAGTGGCAGATTGTACTCTTCGGTCTTCTGTACAATCTGCCGCAGGGTATGTATGTGGTCTATAGTACTAAAGCCTTTTCGGAAACCGGCTTGTTCGGGAGGCTGGAAGTCGTCGAGTCTGCGTGCGAGACGATTCGTAATGACTCTCGAAAACAGCACGTAGACGCGGTTCAGAAGGGAAATCGGTCTGTAGTTCTTCAAGAGAGCGTTGTCGCCTTTCTTAAAGAACAAGACCACCGCACTTCTGCTCCACGCCTCCGGAGTAGTGCCACCATGGAGGACGGAATTGAAGAGCTTCTGAAGGACTACAAGTACCGGTGTTCCACCCGCTTTCAGAAGCTCCGCTGTAATTCCATCCTCGCCTGGGGCCCTGCCGTTTTTAAGGTGCTGGAGAGCTATTCTAATCTCGCTCAGACTGATGTCCGGGATATCATCGGAATAGTGTCGGGTAAGACTTGCTCTTGGATCGTTACTCACACTTGCGTGTGGCTCCAACGATGATGTGTACAGCTGCCCATAGAACCTCTCAATCTCACTCAAAATCTCAGGTGTCCCGGAAACGATGCTGCCACACTCAGTCTTCAGCTTTGACAGTTGGTTCTTTCTGGCAGACAGATCTCTGGCAAAGACTTTGGAGCCCTGGTTCCGCTCGATCGCTTCTTTAATACGAGCAGTATTAAAGTTGCGTAAGTCTTGCCGCATGCATTTGGAGATCTGTCTGTTCAGTTGCCTGTATGCTGACAAATCTGTTGACGATTGCAGCCTCATCTCCCGTCTAACAGCCATGAGATTAAGAGTGTGATCGGAGAGTTTTTGTGTTCTTCTGCGGCGGGTCTTGCAGAACTTAGCTCCGACCGCATGGACAGTTTCCACGAGCTTGTCTTCATGTCGTCCACTGCATTGCAATATTGTAGGCACTGAAAGCGGTTACGTAACTCGAGCTGAAAGGTTTCGGAATTCTGGATTAAAGCACGAGGGGGGACGGAGCGTTGACTTCATTAGACGAGACCTCTCCTACTTAACGTTTAGGTTCAGTGTGCCTCTAACCATTCGGTGATCGCTGCCAGTTTTCACCCTTGCGATCACTGAGACATCACTGAACAGTTGGCGTCTGGTCGTCATAATGAAGTCAATCTCATTTTTTGTCGAACCGTCGGGGCTCGACGCAGGCTGCCCCATTTCCTGTGGGGCCGCTTCTGGAAGAAAGAGTTCATCATAAAGAGTCCCTCTTTCTCCATGAAGTCGGCCAGCTGCTGGCCCCTACGGTTCTGTTGCCCTACTCCAAATTTCCCTAACTTCAGCTCACCCTTTCTCTTGTGCCTAGTTTTGCGTTGAAGTCTCCCATCAACACCGTGTAGTGGGTTTTGGAGGAATGCATGGCTTTGGAAATAATCCTCATACATTTCTTCCACCTCCTCATCGAGATGTGCCGAGGTTGGTGCACAAACCTGTATGACCTTCAACGAATACCGTTTGATGATTCTGAGTATCAGGTACGCGACCCTCGTTGACACACTCCCAATCTTTACAACGTTGTTGACGAGAGACTTGTGGACGATAAATCCGACACCTCCTTGGGACAGATGGTCGCCCTCCCGGTGATAGAACAAGTTGCCGGACTCGAGGATTACCGTGTCCTCCCCCTCTCTTCGGACCTCAGATAATCCAATAATATGCCAGCGCAACTTGTCTACCTCTTCTTCCAGCTCCAGTATCTTCTCGTCAGTCCTCAGGGTGCGTGCGTTATACGTTGCCAGGTCGAGTCGTGGTAGGTGGCATCCGAACCTCCACCGGAGATTCTTAGCACCCCCTGCCCCGCCGTTGCCCATGGTCGCCACCGTAGCCAGGAATAGCGGGGCGCCGGGGACTGGGGGCCGTTTATTTGTGTCGTTGCTCATGGGGGGATATTTTGGCAACCGCAGTTTTTTATTATGTTATTGTTATTATTAGGAAGATACTGCTGCCCATCTCCTGCCTCTTACGACACCCACGGGAAGATATGGGGTAGTGGATATTCTCAACCGCCACTACACGGTAATTATATTGAGATTCGTTTAAAACATTTTACAATTCAAGTTCAAATTGACCGTGCCATTCTATGATTTCAAAAGGAAGGATAGGCCCATCTAAATACTTTACTTATAACTTTTTCATACAAGAAAAAGTGGCGCATCTGTCATAATACAAACGTCATATCATAACACGACGTAACCAGGGTCGGATTTCGTAGTAGTTTCAATCGGAGTTTGTAGTATATAATATCGTAATAATACTAAGCGAAAATACCATAATTTTACCTAAAGGTCGACTTGTATTATTATTGGGTCCTTTTACTTTTTAATATTAATCCTACGATATCTAGAATTTCTGTATTGTACACGAGTACCGCGTTTTTAAAATAAAATTTGAATTAACTCCCTTTCTGGTCAATCGGTACTCGATCGATGCATTTATGTTGCATCCTTGATACAACTATTATAATAGGGGGCTACCACGATAAAAAACTCTATGCTCCAAAAGTAATCAAGTTTGAAAACAAAATTTCAAAATATTTTATGAATTAGATTTTGAGATTCAATTAAGCAGATATGGTTTCTTTTGTACTCTTTTCGTTTTAACCTTATTGAATATAAAATATATTAGGTACCAATATTCAAAATTTAACTTACACTAAATTCTTTAGACAAAAATAAAAATAAAACCATCAAAAAACGAAACGTACAGATAAACTATGGTTCATAAAAGATAGCCTGATCTCAGCGACAGCTGTCAGTAAAATCACGCCTATGAAGTCCTGAATTTCTTAGTAGTACAGACACACAGTACCTGTCGATGTTATACTTTATGGGCATGGCGACCTAATTAGTAGTAAAGTAAAGTAAAGTTACAGCCTATATATGTCCCACTGCTGAGCACAGGCCTCCCCTCATTTATGAGAGGGTTTTAGGGCGGGGAAGTGTCCGCCGCGCTGCCCCAATGCCTGTTGGCGAACTTCACACGTCTTAGAAATATTTTTTATCTTATTCCTCAGACATGCAGGTTCCCTCACAATGTTTTCTTTCATCGCCGAGCACGTGGTAAATCAGCATTTAAAATTGCAATTAACAATTTCATTGGTGCCGGCGGAGATCGAACCCGGGTTACTCGCGGTCTGTTATATTACAACGAGCGTTAACCATCTGAGCTACCACAGCTCACCTAATTAGTGCATGCCCATAAAGTATGACATTGACAGGTACTGTGTGTCTGTACTGCTAAGAAATTCAGGACTTCATAGGCGTGATTTTACTGACGCGTGACGCCGAAATCCCGGCACATGGGAAAAAGGAAATATGAAACGTCAAACGTGATATAATTTTTTAAACATAGTATAATTTTGTATATATACATATATATACTCTCTCAACTTCGTAAACACAACACCCTATATTGAACACGCACGGCTTGCTAAATACATACGCATTGATATTGTAATATTAAAATATAATTTGCTTATAAATTTATTAAAGTTATGACGCGTACACTTGCTAAACACACAATAATGGAGAGATTATAACGCGTATGACTTGGTTAGCACAATAGTAAAGAGAGATCGTAATGCGTACTTGCTAAAAATACATAAGCATTTATTATTGTCTGCATAAAATCTCTACTTACCTAACTCCATCAGCCATATCCGGAACTTGTGCAGAAACATTGTCAGGATTCATTATTGTAATTATTTTTTATTATTTATTATGTACAAAAACCTGTATATACTCAAAAAAAAAAAATAATCGTCGCGACACCACACTGTTCAATACGAAATAGAAAGAGGAAACGAAAATAACTGGCTTGCTTTCTATGAGAGAGAGAGAGACAGACAGAGAAACATGCGCACGCCGCACGGCTTACAACTATAGCAAAAAGTGTCGTTACAACTTTTGGTCTTAATTTTTTCCGTCTAGCCCCCTTTCAACAGAACAGAACAGAAACTTTTTTTATTCAATATGGATTGTAAATAATACCTATTGAAAGTCACATTTTTTTCATTTACCACTGGTTTGCAAAAATACCTGGGAAGAGCCAGCAAGAAACCCAGCGGGACTATTTTTTTAAATATTAGCTTACAATCATACGTACAATTAACAACACAAAACAAATTAGGAAATAGCTTGGTAGCCATCACCCTACGGCAGAATCCCCCCATGACGTTTATGTTCAGCAGTGGACTTTTATAGGCTGTAAAGAATGGATGGATGAGTTTAAAATTAAATGGCTAGTGAGCCATTAGAGCTACATTTGTAATATTGATATGGTAGTATTCAAGAGTAGTGTTTTAATAACGAACATAAAACACTTTATGTTTCAGATAGCGTTTGACCTGACAGCAAAATATCCACCCGTCGAGCCGGAGCCTTTTGCCGAGGGACGGGTAAGTACATTTTGAAATCATTACTTAATTATTATTGAAATTGTGCTAAGGGATTACCCCTCCATGCTTATTTTTACAGTCCGTTAAAAACTGAAATATAGGCGTTAAAAATATAGTTAAAAATATTTATGTGGAATCTTCAGGAAACTAAACTTCGAGCGAATGAGACGAATGTATAGGATCAAGAGTTGGATAATTGTAAATAAATGTTTATTTATTATAATATTGTACCAAGTTTAAAAAATATTTTATTCTACATAATGTATTATATTACATTAAATATTATACAGAGACCAAGTTTAAAGTACTTTATTTTCTTTTTATATTTAATATATAGAAAGAAAATAAAGTTTTTTTCTTTTGTTATATTCTTTTTAATCTCCATACATAATAGGAAACACTGTATACTGTATTTTATCTCATTCTCTCGCAGGCTAATTCCTATATTGTGTTCCTCGCTTTTTGGTTTGGTTGCAATGATTCTAAAGAAGTTTTCGCTTCGCGATAGGTTTTTACTAACGTGTAATATCAAAGTGCGTTAATAATTGAATTTCTGAAAAATTCCTTACAATTTATATGAATTTAGGTACAGCGTGTGTTTAATTAAGGCTAAAATATCATGTTATAAGGAGTACTGCCCATTGGATGAATATGACTGTATGATGATATTAGTTTTTAATTTTAATGTTTTTTGATGTAATAAATGTCTATAGTTACATTTGAAAAATTATAATAGCTCACGACACGAGTGTATTGTCTGCTAATCTAATCTTATCGGTGTAGTGTAACACAGGCCGGGAATCACTGTAATAAAAACACGTCAACTCTCGCCTGAGACTCGTGTAACTGACATGGTGCGGTCGAGACAGTGCATTGTATGTATATGTATGTTTTGTGTATTAGTGTATCGCATATTGTTAGTAAATAAAACAAAACATAATAATATTTGTTGTAACACTACAACGAGTATGAACACTCTGGTGCAGATAAGGCCCGTGTCACACGCACAGCTGTGCCTCGACATGCACCGCGGCGAGCAAAAGGACGTCCTGCAGATCAGGTCGTGTGTGCGCTCGGCCTCCACTGAGCAGCACTTTGTCCTCTCCTGGCACAAGGACATCAGGTACCACGGCTTACCCTACCTACTTTAGCCAATCACACTTGATTTAATATTTATTTATTTAATTTATTGAAACTTTGTTGCACAAAAATGTACAAAGGCGGACTAACGTTCTTTACCAGTCAACATATAAGCGAGCAGAGAACACTACTTTGGAGATGCAACAAGATTTGTAAGAGAAATAATAAGGTATTACACCCATTTTCAAAAGGTATTTAAAATGAATTCTATAGTGATAATGAACTACTATAATTTTTTAAGGCGAATAGTGTCATAAAAATTACTTTTAATCTATTGTTTTAAATTTTCGCGTGAAAACGCTAGCCGCCATGTTCAACTCGTAACGTCACTGCCCTAGAATTTTGCCGATTTTGCAAAGGAATAAGATACTTTTTAATGTATAATAATGAGTTATCATCTATATCGTTGTTGTGTTGTGCCTGAATGCAAAAATAGAGCATAAGAACGCCGACAAAGTTATGGATTCAAGTGCCAACTAACAAAATATAAGAAGTAGTTAGTTAACCTTTTGAGCGCCTGTCCTGTACGCCAAAGCGAAAAGTAAACAAAAATATTGAAATACCGATAACACAAAATAACTTGATTTTGTTGGTTTTTATGCAATAAATGACTCTTTATAATCTGGTATGTTTTATTTAATCTTGTGCTGTCTTCCACTCTTTTTATATACGTACTTTGTACATAAATAACAAACAATAACAATAAAATAGTAGTAAACCATGTTGGCGCAACCAACAAACCTTTTATCGTACCGGGCCCACAGTGACGTCACGCATACATACGTCACACACATGCCACCACCCCGTTCGGGCGTCAGACTGCACCGTACACCGTAGCGGCAACACACGTTTCTTATATCTTTATTTGTCATATACGACATTGTAAATATAGTTATTAAATCAAGTTATTAGTACTATCCTGGTCTTCTTCATTGATGATCCTGCGATCCTGGTCTGGAGAGAGCTTACCTGAGGAGTACACCCAACATAATGGCGACCGTGAACTTCTGTTGCTACGTGGACGCGTAGTACGAACCTGCATACTGAGGAGAACAAAGGAATGCGCACTGCACTGCTGTTAGAATCAAGAACTGGACTATCAAGAAGATACCTACCAGCTAGTGTTATTTGAACCACGACAAGTGTTAATTATTGTGCCGCAAGAGGATTTTAAAACAAAAGGGAGGTTTGCCCGTTCCTTATTTTCCTAGTTTAACTGTGCTAGCCCTATAAAGCTTCGTTGTGCGAGCAGATCTCATATTTTTCTAATTAGTTCAAATCTATAAGCAAATTAAAATCAGCTGCCCAGCTAAATCGTTCATACCAAGCAATTTACCGTTAACTTTAATTCTCACTCGCATAAATTATCTTACAAAGTTAAAATAAGTATTCAATGCATTTATGGGTTTAATTTATGAACTATTTTAGGTTTTCTGGTGCTAAATCTTAAAAGTTAACTGCTTAAAGATAAGAGTTAAAGATTGCATCAGCCGTTTACGTAATCACCGTTAGCTAGCTACCTACTTTTTCTGAGCGCATCGATCGCATAATTGCATTCTTTTATTATTTCGCTCGATCCTTCTTATCTGTCGCTTCTCTTATCGCATCAGTACGATACAAGTAGGCAAATAGTTAGTTTTTATAAGGTAACTAATAGTTGTCCGGCCGAATATTCCAGTGTGCCGTCCGCTGCGTATGCGCCGATACACGTCGCCTGCGCCGAGCGTCTATTGTTCTGCGGTATCCCCGGTCTCGGCGCACAGCTGTTTCATATAAAAAAGGCAAGCCTACGTATCGAGGTATTTATTGCAATCTATTTTACCTACTAATCTTGTTTGTTTGCATAATGACTGACACAGAGTTAAAGGCGAAGAGGGCATCTATTAAGGGGCGATTAACTACATTTAGGAATTATTTAGAGGAGTTTAAAAGGCATAGGCAGGGAAATTTAAATGAGTTAAAATTACGATTACGGAAAGCGGACACATTGTTTGAAGACTATGATAAAATTCAAACTCAAATTGAGGTTAATGAGGCGAAGTCAGGTAAACCCGCCGAGGAGCAAGTGGAATTTAGCGAGCGGGAAAATACGGAAAAATTGTTTTTTATCGCGATGAGTAGTGCTCAGGAGTTGATCGCAGCTAATGAGCCTCGCTCCTCGGAGGCCACGGGATTTGATGGTGGGAAGGACGCGCGCTCGTCCCACAGTGTGGCTGACGCCGGCGTTAGGCTTCCGACCATGAAGCTGCCTACATTTGATGGCAGTACAAACAAATGGTTAGAATTTCGCGATGTGTACCTGTCAATTGTGCACAATAATGACAATCTCAGTGATATTTGCAAGTATTAATATTTAAAAGCATCCTTATTAGGAAGCGCAGCGTCTGTTATTGAATCATTGGAAATATCGGCGGCAAATTACGAAGCGGCCTGGAAACTCGTTAGCGGTAGATTCGATAAAAAACGTCAGCTGATTCATACTCACCTTAAGTCATTGTTTGATATGTCTTTTATTGGAAGAGAGTCTGATAAATCATTGCGTTTCTTAATTGACCATGTGTCGAAACATTTGAAGGCTTTAAGTAGTTTAGGTGAAAAGGTTGATAACTGGGACACGCTCATTATATTTATGTTCGCGAACAAATTAGATACTACAACCAGTACGAAATGGGAGGAGTATAGGAATAGTTTAACCGAGAATCCCACTTTAGAAAATTTTTATGAGTTTTTGCGACAAAGGGCCGATGTTTTGGAAATGATAAGTGCAAGCACTAGCACTAGCGACAAGCCTGACAAACAAGTTGCGTATAGACGAATGGATAAGGTTCAAAAGGCATTTGTCGCGACGGCAAGCGAGTCCAACACGTCGAGCCACTTAAACGTAAATAATGCACGAGTTTGCCGCATATGTAGTGGGGATCATTTCTTATATAATTGTGAAAAAATTTAACCAAATGTCAGTGGACGAAAGAAATACTTTAATAAGAAAATTAAAGATTTGTGTAAACTGTTTCCGAGGTGGGCATTATTCCCACCAATGTAAATCGAGTCCATGTGCTATATGTAGACGTAAACACAATACTCTGCTGCATAAAACAATAACATCCAGTCCTCAGAAAAGTGTAGAAAGCAAGGAATCTGTGTCTACGCCTATATCGTTATCAGCCAGCGTTGAAAATTAGGTATTACTATCAACTGCAATAATTTCAATAAAAAATGTAAACACAAACAAAACTTACGAAGCCCGCTGTCTATTAGACTGTGGTTCGCAGTCTTGTTTTATTACGGAGGCGCTGAGAAATAAGTTAGGCATACAAAGTGAACCTGGTGACACGGTTCGGGTGACCGGCATTAATAATATTTCGTTTGATGCGCTAAGACGTTGCACCGTGTCAATCCAGCCGCGCGAGCGCAGTGAAAATGAATCGTGTATAAAGGTCGATGCTTTTGTTATTCCCCAGATAACGGGTCAGTTGCCGTTAGAACAGGTGGACGTTTCGAATATTGTTGTTCCACAAAATGTTGTTTTAGCTGACCCTGCTTATTATAAGCCTTCACAAATAGATATGCTATTGGGAGCGGACATTTTTTGGGATGTAATTAGCAGTGAAAGGTTAAGGCTGGGGCACAATAAGCCCATGTTGCAAAATTCTATATTTGGCTGGTTAATGGTAGGACCTGTAACGTTAAGTAGTAACGATAGCAGCAGTTCAAAGGTAAAAAGCACTCATTGTGGATTTAGTATGGAAATACGTAATCAGCTAAGCAAGTTTTGGGAGTTGGAGGAAGTGCCAACTACACCAGTGTTGTCCCCAGAAGAGGAGGCGTGCGAAGCTCACTTCAAGCAAAACACGAAACGCTTAACTGACGGGAGGTTTTGCGTTACGTTACCGTTTAGTACGCATCCAGATGTGCTGGGTGACTCATACAGATTAGCGAGAAAACGATTGGACTCATTAGAGAAACGTTTTAAGCGGCAGCCTGACGTAAAATCGCAATATGTAGATTTTATTAATGAATATGCCGAATTATGTCATTTATCGGAGAGTGACAAACCAGAAAAAGCCTATTTCTTACCGCATCATCCAATTTTAAAAGAGCAAAGCGAGTCCACAAAGTGTCGCGTGGTATTTGATGCCTCAGCGAAGACTGATTCTGGTTATTCGCTCAATGATATCCTCATGGTGGGTCCCACGGTGCAAGACGACATCTTCTCTATTCTAATAAGATTTCGTCAACACGCTTTCATATTCACAGGAGATTTAGAGAAGATGTATAGACAAGTAGTCGTGGAACCAACACAGAGGCACCTTCAAATGATTTTATGGCGTAATAATGAAGCCGAGCGCATGAGGTACTTCGCGCTTAATACCCTGACGTACGGTACGTCATCGGCAAGCTACCTCAGCACTAGGTGTCTCGCTCAATTAGGTCATGAAAGCACCGATCCTTTGGTGAAAGAAGTAATATTACATGATTTTTACATAGACGACTTAATAACAGGTTTAAATGATGAGAAAAAAATTAATAAATTTACACCAAAGGATCGACGAGACTTTAAGTTCTGCTCATTTTAATTTAAGAAAATTAAAAAGCAACTCAAAGGAGTTTCTCTGCAGTGTAGCGGAAGAAAGCAATTGTCAGCAAGATAATTTGAAAATATCCAATCAAAGTAACACTTTAGGTGTTGAATGGAATCCTAATGAGGATAATATTTTAATCAAATGTTCGAAATTGCAGTTAATAGATAACCATGTTAAGTACACTAAAAGGGCTGTCCTATCTGTAGTGTCAAGTATTTTTGATCCTTTATGGCTGTTGAGTGTATGTGTTATTTTATGTAAAATCTTCTTGCAATCACTCTGGTCACAGAAATTGGACTGGGATGAGGAAATTCCCCAGGCGCCTGACTGTATCTGGACTAGGTTTATAATTAACATAGGTTATTTAAAGGAAATAAGTATTCCGCGTCATGCAAGTTGTAGGAATGCGGTAACAATCGAAATCCATGCATTTTCGGATGCCTCGTTAAAGGCATATGCTGGATGTGTTTATTTGCGATCAATGGATGAGTTAGGTAATTTCACACAGTACGACTTTTATGCGCTAAGTCGAAGGTCGCACCTTTAAAGGCCACGGCCATTCCCCGTCTGGAGCTTTGTGGAGCCTTATTAGTTTCACGCTTATGTGAAAAGACTGTACAAGCTTTACGATGCAATATTAAGAATAGGTACTTTTGGTCAGACAGTAAAATAGTATTGGGATGGCTGAGCATTCCGACAAACAAGTTATGCACGTTTGTATCGCACCGAGTCGCGGAGATTAATGACAAATGTTCAAACGCTATGTGGATGTATGTCCCCTCAGCGCAGAACCCAGCCGACCTGGCTTCGCGCGGAGTATACCCGGACGAAGTACAGTCGTTGTCACTGTGGTGGGAGGGACCTGCATTTCTGCAGGATAACGAAAGCCAATGGCCTGAACAGAGCGGCGCGGTACAAGCGAGCTTACCTGAGTTGCGTGCACACACTGTAAACATTGATAAATCGATATCGCCAATAATCGACATGTCAAGGTATTCTAGTTTTCTTAAATTACGTCGCATATTTGCATATGTGTGTCGTTTTATCAATGTAATGGTGCATAAGCAAAGGTATGAGTCGAGTTTGCTAACAGTGGACGAGCTTGAACAGGCGGAGTCCAAGCTGGCTTATTTATCACAATGTGAAAGCTTCGCTGATTTTAAGAGCAACCCAAGTTCTATACCTGGTTCAAGTAAATTAAATCCTTACGAAGACGAGTCAGGATTAATACGTGTAGGTGGTCGATTAGATAACTCGAAATTTGTGTACGACAAAAAGCATCCTATAATTCTGGATACAAAGCATCATTTTACTAAATTGATATTTAGGTATTTTCATTTTAAGTTGATGCATGCACCACCGCAGCTTCTTCTTTCAGCTATTCGTGAACATTATTGGCCTTTGAATGGCAGAGTACTGGCGAGACGTACTTATGGTGATTGTACACGCTGTAAGAGGATGAACGGAGAAGTTGCGCAACAAATAATGGGCAATTTACCAGCGCAACGGGTCACACCTGGATATGTTTTTGAGATCGTGGGAACTGATTTCGCAGGTCCTTTTTGCACAGTTGACAGGAAAGGTCGCGGCGCAAGACTGTCAAAGAGTTACCTGTGTGTCATAATAGATTTTAAGGTTAAGGCCGTACACCTTGAGGCTGTCAGTTCTTTGAGTACTGAAGATTTTATTTTAGCATTGCGTCGCTTTATGGCTCGTAGAGGGCCCCCTCTAGAGATATTTTGCGACAATGGGAAAAATTTTGTTGGCGCTAACCGCGAGTTAGGTGAGTTTCTCACTGCCGTTTCTAATTCTGTGTCAGCGTCATTTGTAGAAGATAAGATTAAGTTTAATTTTGCACCCGCGTATGCTCCAAACTTTGGAGGCTTATATGAAGCAGCTGTCCGGTCTGCAAAATACCACATGAAAAGGGTGATAGGTAATACCCATTTAACCTTTGAGGAGCTAGCAACCCTGTTCGCACAGATTGAGGCTATACTTAATTCTAGGCCCCTATGTCCTATGTCCTCATCTCCGCACGACCTAGTTCCCCTCACCCCCGGGCATTTCCTCATAGGAAGACCGCTCATTTCATTACCGGCACCAGACCTGCAAGAAGTGAACCCTAACCGGCTTCAAAGATATGCGAAAATCGAGCAGGCAAGGCAACATTTTTGGTCAAGATGGAGCCAGGAATATATCTGCGAGTTGCAGCAGCGCACCCGTTGGCAGCGACGCCGCCCCGACATTCAACCTGGTCAGATGGTTCTGATAAAGGACGAGGCGACACCACCGCTCAAGTGGCCACTAGGGCGGATTCAAGCAGTGCATCCTGGCACCGATGGCGCATGTCGAGTTGCGGACATACTTACAACGAAGGGCACGATTCGTCGAGCAATCAACCGAATCTGTCCATTCCTGGATGATGATGAAGCTTAAAGCCAGGAGCTATAAGAGGCGGGAAGATGTTGGCGCAACCAACAAACCTTTTATCGTACCGGGCCCACAGTGACGTCACGCATACATACGTCACACACATGCCACCACCCCGTTCGGGCGTCAGACTGCACCGTACACCGTAGCGGCAACACACGTTTCTTATATATTTATTTGTCATATACGACATTGTATATATAGTTATTAAATCAAGTTATTAGTACTATCCTGGTCTTCTTCATTGACGATCCTGCGATCCTGGTCTGGAGAGAGCTTACAGAGGAGTACACCCAACAAACCACAAACACTACTCTTCATCGTGATGACGTCACTGTCACGACTGGACGACAACGGCGTAGCTGACCTTCCTTTTTGAAACTTTCTTAGAGATGTAGCCGTGTCGCACGTTGTGTATCGATTTCGAAATCGATCTAAACAAAATATACAGACAGCGATTCAAAATATTTTATGTGTCGGGGGAGGCGTATGTCAAGTGAAGCACAGAAGAAAAGTCTTACGCTCTTATGACAATGGGGGTTTGATATGATGCTGATGCTGCTAGATGATTTTGAGATTGAGAAAGAAAATCGCACAACACAAAACGAAAAATTGCTCTTCATACCTTAAGTAAAAACATATTTATTATTTGTAATTTTGTATTATTAAAATAAAAAAAAAATCATCACCATTGACGTTTTCAAAAATGCGAATGAGTTCTGAGGAATCGTTCATGTTGCTCTCTGCACTACTTCTCCCGCTAATCACTTATGACGTCTCAGGTTGTCGTCTATATTTGACCACAGCGCCCAGTGAACGGATTTTCGATGACGCGCTAAGGATGCGCCAGAGTTGAGATACTAGATTTATTATGCGAAGATGATTTGATAATATTTTTTTTATTCATGTAGCTAATTTTAGTTTTATATTTCAAACCTTTCGTTTTATTCGAATATCAATAATAATAAAAAAATAATACGTTTGAGCTGAATTTTGGATAGTTTTCAAGAAATCTATACCTCCCGCGTTCGACAATATCGATCAATCATAGACGACTTTGGCATGCTGGACATGGTATTTGCTTAGATAAAAATACCTTTTTTTAGTTAAATGTTTCGTAGTACTTGTGGCTCTAGGAGATTTGTTTTTTATACTCACATGTTGCTTGGTTATTCTTTTTTGTGGAGTGTATATTTCATATTTTTGTGGGCTGGGTTTTTTGTCAACTATAGACGTCGTTGGCGCTCAGGGCCCGCAGGTGCTGGTCAAGTATAAGCGACTTTGGCGCTCAAAAGGTTAAAACTGGCAAGAAGATACCCGAATACATTGTCTACAAAAAAGAGACAGTTCAGTGAAGATAATTTTGATGTATGTGACATATTTAAAACTATCGTTTATACAAAACAAACATCATGAGGGGTATCGCAAGTCAAATTTTGTAATAAATTACGTTAACTTAGATATTATAACTAATGATTATAATTATAGATAAACTAAACTATTATAGCTATTAAATTATGTTTTATCAAAAAACTCACTGACCACGTATTGTGTTTTTGTATAAACAAACGTTGGGAATAGGTACTTATATTGATGTTTTAACATTTCTCAACTCAGCACAACAAAAATTGGGATTGCATGCAAGAAATTCTGCCACCATCAATTTATTTATGCTTGGTAGATTAGTTTGTTCTGCTTTTACGAATTCATCTTCCATGATGTCTATTCAATAAAATTTGGAATAAAAGTAATAAAACTCTTAATCAGTGCCACAGAACACTAATACCTTTAGGAGGGATCAGTGACGTCACGATACTGGCTAATACGGCGGACAGCGTTTTGCAGATTTGAGGCACAAACAAACAAAAAGACTGCTATAAGACTGCTTCTGTATCTTGATGTGTGTACATAAAATAAATTAAAAAAAAAATATTTTTAAAATTGAAATATAAAATTTACAATGCAATTTTATAAATAGAAATCAATATTTCTCATTTACTTTTACAAATATATCGTAAGTTTTTTCGATTTTTTTACATGGTGTAAAATATTAAGAATCAACACAATATATGAAAATTAACAAAGAGTATGTATTAACTACATATAATATTCATAAACGTATACACACATACATTACATTATATAATATAAGATTGTAGTGACAATACTTGACCTTGACTTGAACTTACAGCTAGCTGATGGTGAGTGTCTATGGCAACTCATGGACACCTGCAGCAAACTTCGTACAAAAAAGACTGCAAATGCGTTGTCCCCTCTGAGGACTAAGATGTAATTGACAGCTCCGTGGCCGAGTCGCTTACCAATGAGTTGCAGAGCTAAGGGCTGCCGGTTCGAATCCCGTACGGAAAAAGTATCTGGTTATTTGTCCTTTTGAAATGTATGTATGTAAACTGCCCCCATGATACAGGAGAAAATCCTAGTGTGGAAGTAACGTTTTAAGACTGTCTTTCAGCCTGTAATTATACTGCTTCTATATCTATTTAAATATTCTGCAAAATAGCAACACATGACGTGTCATTTTAGTCTCCTGACTTAAAAAACGCAGGTATTTTTATTTAAATGTTCTTTCTCAGATATATAGACCAGTGAGCAGAAGTTCTGTTAGGTTTATTAAGTTACTATTACATTCCAGGTCCAAAGACAGGAACATGTGCTGGGATGTTCCCGATTCTACGCCGAAGCGTCCCATCTTTCTGTACTCTTGCCACTTGGGCGGCGGGAACCAACTGTGGCGGTACCATTTGGTAAGCTCAAACCTTACTGTTGAATAGGACGAAACATAATATGTCTTAATTATTTACGTAGTTTTTTTTTTCATTTTTATAGAATAAGTGTCAGACTTAAACAGTCTATCTGATGGTAAGTGGATGCTTTGGCCAATAGACATCTGAATCTATCCTCGATTAAGAATCAAAATGCAGATGCGTAGTTACTCCTGTGGAATTAGATAGAATGTCTTATAACCAGTAAAAAGGGTCTCCGGTTCTCTACACTCACCATAAAAAATACAACAACATTGAACTGCTATTTTAGGCCGGCATTCTGTGAAAGCGTGGTCCTTCCCCGGTCAAGCCGACCCATTTGTGCTACAACCATTATATAGCTTTATAACGGTCTTAATTATCATTAGGTGGACTATGTACTCAATCGTCACTCTTATTCTTAGACATGGGCGTTTTTGGATTTGAACGCAAACTGATATTTATCCGATTTCAGATTTCAAAATCCGTTTTTAAATATTCGATTTCAGTGTCGCTTAGCTACGCCAATTCGTTTGCGTACTTAGATTTCGTTTTATAAGTTAAAACGACAAACGCAAATCTAACTAATACAGAAACAGATTTGCGAGATTATCCAACATGCTTTAATCTAGGCTTAGGACTAGCAGAAAAATTTTGTATGAAATTAGAACTTTTCCGGCGCATTTAATAATCGGTATATTTACAATGATTTCTTATTATATTTTTTTTTGGTTTCATTTCGCTTTTTTATTTTTTTTATTTTTTATTTCAGAATCTGTTTGGATTAAGATTTGCGTTTAAAAACGCAATTTGCTCCATTTTTGACGACTTTGCACGACACCTCGTTTCATTTATTATTAATCCCGTCTTTGAAAAATTCGTTCGCACGGATCGGATGTTGCGACAATATTGCATTTTGAGCGATATATTTCCGACAAATGCGGATAAATTATTTTATACACAATTCACTGCTGATTTTTAAACATTTTTATAAAATTTTTTCATATATTTACTAAACAAAAAAGTTAAGTAAAAAAAGTATTAAGGCCATAAATATCAGTAAATAATATGAAACAATACACTGTTACGACTGACCGGCATACAAGCAGTTGTCACCAGGATTAAATTTACGTCTAAAGTCTAAAACATAACAACATGAAAACAAAAAATTATTTAAAATATGCAAACATTTAACTAAAAACATAAATAAATCATCACACAATCTCGCAAATATAGCCTAACAATAAGAATGATATTGATCGCACACTGACCAAAAAATTCAGCAACGCATAATCTCGTAAAGCCAATCTAGACTTTACGTACTAAGCAGTAAGGATAATATTGATCCCATATCTCAATGTGTAATAGATTTCGATATTCCATAGCCGACAAACCGAAATCTGAATCTTAAACTTCACGTCATCGAGAGAGACACTGAAAAAACGGATTTGGATTTCTACGCAACAGTTTGCGTTTAGATTTTTGTTTTCGATTTGGATTGGTTTGGTTTCGTAAGAGTTTAGCTAGTTAGATCGATTTTTGAAATCGGATTTTCTATTTTGAGCAATCTATACGAATCGATTTGTGTTTGAAATCGGATTTTAGATTCGTTTTGATATATCCGACTCATGCCTACTTATTCCATAAAAAATATCTATGCGAATCTATGTATCTACTGTATGCGAAAACCTTAACCAATCAGGCTCCGACATTTTATTGGACCAGTCTAAGCCAGACATATGGTCAAGCTAAAGAGTATAGTAGGTCAGGCCAAGGACAATATTGTTTTTCATGAAGATAAATATAACTTAGTCATTTTGATAATTGAGTACTGTACTCTTATCCAAAAATAAAAATAAAATATCGCATTATTTGTATGAAGGTCAAGTAAGCGCTACAGAAATGACGATTGCAAGACGTTGTCGATAAATAAAATGTTGTGAGAAATTATCAATTACCGTGTAGTGGCGGTTTATGAATAATATATAAAAAATTCCACCAGAGGGTGGACCTGCTCATGACTACTCGAGAAAAAGAAAGAGAAAAAAAATCTTAATCGTTTTTGAAATTACAAAAAAAAAATGAAATTCTTCGAAAATCGATACCCCGATATGGTATTTTAACTACCATGAGCACATTTTTTAAAAATTGCCACAACTAACCAAGATTCTAAAATGGTATAACACTCTTGGAAAACTAGCCACAAAAAAGCCTACTATTTCTAAACAAGAACCGAAATTTTGAACATAAATTTTTGTTGTTATTTAATCACTTTCACTACACTACACTATGTGCCAAAAAAGGTTTTTGTTGCAAGTTCTTAGAACATGAATTGGAGATGTGCGTAGTCAGTAAAATTTTGAAGTTAGAGAGAGATAGATAGAGGGAGACTATACGTTAGAGAGAGATAGATGATGTTCATTGTTTAATAACAATAGGGCAGGTACACAAGTTGCTTTAGTGTTCAACAAGTCAGTCAGTACACTCTGCTCCTTTGTTTACTGTGCACCGTTCCGTATTCAATTGATGTGGCTCTCGTACTAACGACTTTTGGCTTCGCTTTTTGGACTGGTGATCTGCAAACTGAACTGACCTGGCATTATTTTGGACTGTGATTGTGTGTTTTGTGAATTGGACTATTGGCGTATTTTGGACTGTTTAGCGTTTATCATGCCGCTACCGTACACACCGTTGGAATACGCTAATATGCGTCTCATTTATGGAGAATGCCGATGCAATGCTAACGCTGCTAGCAGATTGTATCGAGAAAGGTACCCAAATGCTCAAAAATACCCTGATTATCGAGTATTAATTAATGTGCATCAAGCATTTGCGGAGGATCGTTTACAATCTGCCAGGAGAAACGCTGTACGTGCCATAGAACTAGCTACGGGAATCCCAAAAAGTTCTGCGCATCGAATTCTTAAACGTTACAGGCTTCACCCATACCATTCCAGGCGTGTGCAGACGTTATTACCGCGGGACTATCCACTACGGGTCGCATTTTGACGTGTGATGCTGCAAAAGCACAGAAACAATTCTTAGATAAAGTTTTATGGTCGGATGAAACAACCTGCAAGAAAAATGGCTATTTAAATCTTCACAGCTTACATACTTGGAGTAATGAAAATCCGCACCTGATGAGACAAAACAAATCCCAATATCAATAAGCAAGAATAATGTGCTAATTAGGTGTTGCAAGTATAGGCAATGACAAGGCACTCCCAATAAAAATAAAGTTGTTATTCAGAACAAAGCAGGTGCAAAAATCAGATTTCTAAAATCAACGCAAAATCAGTAATTTGCATTTAGAAAAGGCCAAAATTAGGAGCATGTAGGTGCTAATTAAGTGCCAAGTTTAAAAATTTTGTGCTCCAAAATTTTCACCGCAACGAATTTGCCTTTAGGGAAAATAAATGCTATCATTATTTTCACGGAAAATCGAACATATTGCACGCGCAAATGAAGTTAGATCGCTAATGAATATAATTGATAACTTGTAAAAATATATAGGTAACACTGTTTACGTACCTAATACTAAATCTAAAACGCATATATGAAGTCACGGTATAAGTCATTCTAATGTTCCAAGTAGTTATCTAATTTTATCAACGTTATCAAGTCACGATGATTTTTCACCGTGACTTTTTGGTAACCGGAACGTTGTTCACGGTTATTTAAAAATGGTAAATTCTAGAATGTTATAAATACTCTAGAAAAACTTCTGTCTGGCATAGAATTTTTGCTGAAAAATGTTGCATGAATCAAAACAAAGGGTACACATATTTACATTTATTTTATTTTTTTGAATTATTAATATTACAGTAAATGTTCGAATTGTTGGCCGCCGGCATTAATACAGGCACGGCATCGCCCTAAAAAAAGATCTTTTTATTCGTAGTGCATATCTTCTACCATTGATACGAACCGCAGCCTGAGTGATATTTTGGCGAAGCTCATCCAATGTTGAAATGAGTTTTGAGTAAACTCTATCTTTGAGACAAACCCAGTAGAAGAAGTCCAGGGGGTTTAGGTCGGGTAAACGAGTTGGCCATAAGATAGGACCAAGTCGCCCGATCCAACGCCCTGGGTACTCTTGGTTTAAATATTCTCGCACAAGACGGGTATAGTGAGCTGGGCAACCATCATTTTGAAACCACATGTTTTGTAAGTCACGTAAAGGCACGTCTTCTAATAATTCTGGCATGTCGTTTTGTAAAAATTTCAAATATCTATTTCCATTCTAAGTTTGCTTGTAACTCAAAGAGCCTTTTTCCATTTAATATGCCCGTCCATAAGTTAATAATTAATAAACCTTTAAGATTCATAACTCCTAAAATAATTACTTTATTGTAAGAAGTCGTATGACCTTTTTCGAAAAAAATCAGTTTAAATAATATGGCACCGAGTTGAGAGAGAATCGCATTAGAAAATTTGAGATGGAATAGTTTTCGGTACTCATGTCCCGATTTCTCTTGAACTAGAAATAAATCTAATGTTTAAAACAGTAATACCAGGGAAGAAGAAGAAGAATACAAAACCAAAGAAGTTTACTGAAAAGAAAATATTAAATCCTATAATTCTCAATAACATTAAAAAATTATTGTTCGGAACACTCTTATCTATGGTTTTGACCAATATAATGTACTCTGTGGTCCTTTTAAGTATTACTATGCTCTTTGGCAGGGTATGAAAATTTGTCATTTAGGTGACCGATGTGGATCAGAGGTGCTGGACAGATTAAAGATTTTTTTTAATGATGATTGTCTTAAATATAAATGATGACATAAATGAATTTAATATAAACCACCTTGTCGAAGTCAGAACGATTCACTAGTAATAATAATAATGAGTTCTATGTATGTAGTAGTGGCGGTGTAAGAATATCTATTACCCCGTACCATCCCCCGGGTGTCGTAAGAGGCGACTGAGAGAAACAAATCACGAAGTTGGCAGCAGCGTCTTCTTAATAACGACTTATTATTAAAAAACTGTGGTTGCCAACCCGCTTGCCAAGCGTGCCAACTGTGGCAAATATCCCCCCTATGAAGCATCTTCGAGGGAAATCTATGTTTAGCAGTGGACTTTATTGTGCTGCAACGATTACGTATTAATTTCATAAATGCTATTTTCCGTAGGATACGAAGCAATTGAAGCATGGCGGTAACGATAACTGCCTCGATTGGGAGAAGGCCACACGCTATGTGTTCATCAACCGCTGCAGCGACGCCGATTCCCAGAAGTGGGAAGTGGACATAGTCAACGCGCAAGCAATGAAGAAGTGGGATAAAACACTTCTAAAAGTCACAGGGCCTATTGAAGACTACTGAAGTTTAAGGTTTTTTTATATGTTACTTATGTGGTGGGGGTTGCAGTCACTCCCGTTGGTCCATTACGCCCGTATAACAAAGCTTTAATGACATATATATTGGCTTTTGTTGACAACGATGCAGTTGTGATAAGTTAACATCGAAAATTAAACTACCTTTTTTATTATTTATACGTACTTTAAAGAAAGAAAGAAAACAATGTGCATATGTTGCTGTTAAGGCAGGTAAAATAAAGAGAATACGTAGTTACATAATTTTTCCATACAAAACGCTTTTCAAAATGAAATGTTTTGATGAAGTTTCTGACTTCATGAGCTAAGATGCAAAATGCAAATAAAGACTCGGCATTGTTTATGCACAATGGAGGACATCCACGACTTTCTGCCACCAGGGTGGAATTGTAAGGACAATATAAAGTTTAATGTTTCTAATGTTTCTGTTATTATCTAAAAATATATTACTTATATTTTATATTAACTGGAATAAAATAGATAAATTAAATTACGGATATTCATAAAAGTAAAAGAGTTAAAGTAAAGTGCAAAGAATTAGCAAGCCATCACTGAGGCATTATTTTGTGTATATAGATACTATAGTTACTATCGTTTTGTATATATATTACAGTAGAAACCAATAAACTTATTAGAAATGCAGCTTTACACTTATAGTGACACTGCCTAACAAATTCTCACAAAATACCAGCGTAACATAGCAGCTTAAAACTGCTGTGTTTCGTATGATGAGTGTAGAGATCCGGAGACCCTTTTTTACTGGAAACGAGGCATTCCGTCTTAGTCCTCAGAGGGCCTGCGTTTTGATTCTTAATCGAGGATAAATGTAGATGTCTATGGGCCGCAGCATCCACTTACAGGTGGACCGTGTGCTCGTTCCTCGCCCTTATTCTATAAAAGAAGCCTCAGCTCCAACCGGCTACATCTGGTGAGTGAAAAAATTATTAGTCCTCGTTAGTCGAACTTTGACCGCAGGCGAGATTAATTATTAATATTTCAAAAAAGTAAACCTATTGCAGTGATATAATGTAGATTTTATATTATACGAATTGTACAGTATATTTGGAACGTGCTCATTAGTGGTTTTTTCGGAATACCATAGAGTATTACCATATTTTTCAAAACCATGAGGCTTAGTAAATGAGATACGGGTAGAAACTGACTTACATGCAAACCAGTTACCTTCGGTTTGGATTCTACCGCAGTCGGGTAAAAAGAATGTCTCAATAGGTCTTTAGAGGCCCAGAATTATTATTTGTATTGCCGTTTAAGTTTAATCAAAAGACTATATTGAAGATTTTAATTTGTTTGTAATTTATAATCGGTTTTAGAATATTTTTGTAAACACTTGTATTTATAAAAGTAAGTCTTATTAGCATTACTACCGGATTATATTTAATCCCTGCATTTTTGTAGTTAGTGATAGATAAATATATTTCGCTAAAGTATATATACTTAAATTTTAATGTTCTGCTTATACAAAGAACCCTTATAATTTCGTAGTCAATCTGAAATCATTATGAAACCATCTTTTTTAACATAACGTCTTTGACATTATTCGTTTGATTACTTAAAAAATTTATTCCCCGGTTAAAGCTAACATCGTGTCCTAGAGGACGCCATTTTGCTTACAAGCGCTTGCTATCGCTTTTTTCTGCCAAACGCACCCATTATCAAACAAGGAGATGAGCATTGGTGTCTTTCTAATAACAACAAAATAAATTGTAGTTGATCTGTAGCGGAGGCCCAGACGGAGGCAGGACATTGTCGTGTATTGTCAAGTAGATGCAAATAGATAAAATGGAAAATAGTTTCATCATCATCATTAAAGTCTATCAAAGTTGTGTATTATATGATGAACACAGGCCTCCACTATACATCGTTTATAAATAGTTGCCATGGTTATGTTGCCATGTTACAGGTGCGCTGGCAAACACAGTTTCTTATTATTTTGACTTGTCAGGAAGATGTTCCTGTTGCAGTTTGTCTGTCGCCCCTTACGACACCCACGGGACGGTATGAGGTAGTGTATGTTCCTATAACGTCATACCAGACGAGAGTAGATTAACTACAATAATATGGCTCGCTCCTCCAAATTACTATTTCAATGTGTGTAGTCACATCCTTACGAAAGAGTTTGTACGTAGTTGTAAGTATTCGTCTTCACAAAGCTCGTGTCATTTTCGTACAGCACGTCAGTGCAGTGCCATACTAATAATAATAAACTATTAATGACACCACTAGTCGAGCAACAAATCCTTGGATTAATTTTTGTTTGAGATCCGTATTAGCACGCGCAATGCGTTGTGAGCTTTAATGGCGCTTTATAAATTTCAAACGATTTGAACTTTGGAGGATCGGGCCATGTAGTTCATCTTTACGTGATGTATGAAACGCCTAACTTAAACTAGTATTAATGTATTAGGTATTTAGGAAATTATATTAATAGAATAAAGAGATTAGAATTAATTGTTTAAATTATAATTGAATTAGAATTTTAACCATAAAGTCACAAAGACATTGTATGTATGTTATTCATAAAAGTTGCAAAAATATTATCAGTTTTATTCAAAGGCTGTAAGACTGATGTATACCACAAGACTATTACCACGGTACTACATTTATAATACATTACGCACTAAGTTATGTTCTTTTCTCCGTAAATCCTTTAGTCGACTGCGTGCGGGCGAGAAGATTAGTACTTTGTTTTGTTAACCACGAACATTGTTTTCGACAACCTAACACTGCTTTGTTTAATTTGATTAAGAAAACGTTGTCATTACTTATGTGCGGACTTTTTCAACGTGATTTGAAGTTTATTTCAGATAAGTATTGTTGCGCGCCATAATTAATGCCTGGTACATGGCCAGCTATCACTAGCTCCATCTAGTATCGAGTAACAGAACAGGAGTGTCAAGATCTTTCTAGAAAATTCCATTCTAGAAGTTTCTACACCTAGTCAGTGGGGACCGGTATGTACTCGGACATTGTAGATGTTTCAGTAGAAGAGGCCCTATATAAGGCCGGTAAGGACCGCCACCGAGGCAGTATATAACTGCGAACTAAAGTGATCAGTAGTACGATTCTTTTTTATTATTAGTGTGTTTTTAATTGTAATTGGTGTTTGGTAATAAAATGTATATTTTGGTAATTTAATTGGCAGTTTTTATTGTTACGAACCCCAAGCTCGTAACAGTATGTATGTAAACTTTATTTCGGATTTGCCAAATGAAAACACGTGGTGTATTTACCGTGCCAGTTACTCGCCCGAACGATCCGCAGGTGCGACATTTTTTGTGAATTGCCGGTCTAGCTAGCAATATATATAGAAGTCTTTGGTCTTATTACAAAACGTGGTATATTGATAGTCTCAGATTTAAAGAAGACTAAGGCCCGTAATATATCAGCAGTTTAATTCACAATTCGAAATTTGAATAATTTTTATGAATTACTTCGTAACAACAATGGTAGTTAATCTTTAATTGGAGGCTTAAACTGCTAGAATGCTAACGGGAGCAGTTAAACTGTAATTTAGAGCTTAATCTGAAAAGTCAAAATGGCCGCTCTTACAACAGCTGTTTGTTATTTAATTTTAACATGTATTCTTTTGCTTCGTTGTTAAATTTGCCGATTCATGATCTTAACTAAATAAATACCTAACATTAAAATAGCTCTATGCGATTTTTCAAATTCCCTTTGTTGCATTTTTAGAAATTCACAATTAATATAATACTTAATTATTATATTAATTCGAATACATACCTTCTATATCTACCTTGAATAAAACAAATTTTACACAATAACTTGGTAATGCTTTGATAACCGAAGCATGTTCTTTAATAAATTTGCACAAGAATAAGAAATGCAAAAATGTTGCAAGATCCGTCTCTCCTCTTTGTTGTTCTGACGCTTATTTTTAATTTTGGAGTCGCTCATACTTTCACGATAATATGAGTTGATATCCAGAATTAATAAAATATGCCACGTAAGTTAATTAATATAATACGCCATATTTCCTGTAAGTATTTTTATGAATAAGACCGAAAAGTTGAAATGGAAGTCATACATAAAGAAGCACTGAGCTGCTGCATCTGCTGCACTGCATCATATATTTTCATTTTGCTATAGCAGTTTTGTTGTTAACCTAGATATACTTCCATTTCGAGTTAAAATAGATTATTAGTCTCTACTCTAGTCTAACACACTCAATAAAAGAGTAATTAAAAAATTCAGACTGCGAAAAAAGTTTACTGAAAATAGAAATTGGTATAGCCACAACTAAGATGAGGCTAACGACACTCGTAATTTAAAAACACTAAGCGTGCCAAAGAAATAGATATACGTACTTCCCTTGCTAGCTACATATATACAAAATATACTTACAATAATAAATACATTTATACACTCGTAAAACAGTACCCTCCTTCTTTGCAAGTCGGGTAAAATGTACAAATAAGATAAATTATGAGACATAAAAATTATGACATTATTATACTATACTATATTATACAACGTTATTTGATTAAATTTGTTTGTTTTGACAACATATAAAAAGTATTTAAATTGACTAGTGTCAAATGCCCACCCTACTAAAAACATTGACTAGTGTCAAATGTTTTTAGTAGGGTCGTTAACTGTTTGCACATACATATTTAAATGTTTATATTTTTTAAACTAGTAAAATAGAGGCTTATTGATAAACTGTCTGTTTAAGAATATTTTGATTTATAATTGTTGTAGTATTAATGTAACTAGCTTTATTTAAGATAAATTAGTGTAATTAGCTTTTGTATATAATATTTTAACGTCCAAATGAAGTTCCATTGATAGTTTTATTGTATGACATATCACTAGTTGTATGCGAGCACTTTTGAAAATAAATATTTTTATAATTTGTAATTTAGTTTTATTTGCTTCTATTCTTTAGTACAATTTTTCAGCGCGTACACTTTTATCGTAAAATAACAGTGGGCATGGATGATTTTGCTA